GAGTCTATGGTGCAGTGTTGAGTCTATGGTGCAGTGTTGAGTTGATGGTGCAGTGTTGAGTCTATGGTGCAGTGTTGAGTCTATGGTGCAGTGTTGAGTCTATGGTGCAGTGTTGAGTTTATGGGTAGTGTTGAGTCTATGGTGCAGTGTTGAGTTGATGGTGCAGTGTTGAGTCTATGGTGCAGTGTTGAGTCTATGGGGCAGTGTTGAGTTTATGGGTAGTGTTGAGTCTATGGTGCAGTGTTGAGTCTATGGGGCAGTGTTGAGTCTATGGGTAGTGTTGAGTCTATGGGCAGTGTTGTGTCTATGGGCAGTGTTGAGTCCATGGACAGTGTTGAGTCTATGGGCAGTGCTGAGTCTGGTGCAGTATTGAGTCTATGGGCAGTGTTGAGTCTATGGACAGTGTTGAGTCTATGGGCAGTGCTGAGTCTATGGTGCAGTATTGAGTCTATGGACAGTGTTGAGTCTATGGACAGTGTTGAGTCTATGGGCAGTGCTGAGTCTATGGTGCAGTATTGAGTCTATGGGCAGTGTTGAGTCTATGGACAGTGTTGAGTCTATGGTGCAGTGTTGAGTCTATGGGATGTTGACATTTTTTTAGGGCTGAGTCGACCTGGAAGAGGAGTCTCACCAGGACCGGTTGAGATAATCGCCATCATTGGTGTCGGCGTTGGTGGGTTCCGTGGGCGGCAATCTAACTCGGACCTCTGCGCCGGGTTCGTAGCGCAAGGGCGCGCTAACCGCTGCGCCACCGCTCCCCCACATCTCCCCGCACAAGCGCAGAACAAGGATCTCATTGAGAGAAATCTCAAATACCCCATAAAAGCAACACGACTGGCCCTGTCAGGGGCAGTGCTTCCCAGGTAGCGAGCGATAAAACAATCGCACATCACGGGACCCGATGTTTCAACTTGTATTGAGCCTCATCAGCAGGGCGTGGCCAGGTCAACAACTGCCAACAACGATGCCGCCGGCTCTTTACAGGCGAGGCACGCAACAAAGACAAAGATCCCCCGTGTAGCCTCTAACAGACTGCCGGGGCAAGTGCTGTTAGCGAGTAGCAGCAGCAGCACCTATGAAGGAGACAAAGATCCCCCGTGTAGCCTCTAACAGACTGCTGGGGCAAGTGCTGTTAGCGAGTAGCAGCAGCGACTATGAAGGAGACTAAAGACAAAGATCCCCCGTGTAGCCTCTAACAGACTGCTGGGGCAAGTGCTGTTAGCGAGTAGCAGCAGCAGCTATGAAGGAGACAAAGACAAAGATCCCCCGTGTAGCCTCTAACAGACTGCTGTGGACAAGTGCTGTTAGCGAGTAGCAGCAGCAGCGCCTATGAAGGAGACAAAGACAAAGATCCCCCGTGTTGCCTCTAACAGACTGATGGCCCAAGTGCTGTTAGCCAGTAGCAGCAGCGCCTATGAAGGAGACAAAGACAAAGATCCCCCGAGTAGCCTCTAACAGACTGCTGTGGACAAGTGCTGTAAGCGAGCACCTATGGAGGCTACCACGGTGGCACACGAAGGCGTGGGTGGCCAGCACCCACGCCCGGCCGCCTTTGTCTCCCCCAGTGGCGATCTTTACAAATTGCACCAGGTACTCGTTAGAGGCTGAGTTGAGTTAGGGGAGGCACCACCACAACATCACCACCACAACATCACCACGACAACAACAACAACCACCCCCAAACACGAACGACGTCCGAAGGCCCGCGTTGCGGCGAGCGGGCCTTGGTCCAGCAGTGGATCGAGCAAAACAACTTTAAAAAAACCACGGGTCGCCTTTGTGTGAGCGACACGAATATCTCGCGGTCTTGATGAGACGGTGCTGGCTGAGGGTGTCGTGGCCAGCCCAGCGTGGCGCCGAATGCCCTCAAGTGATGAGCTCGTGGCCGGTGCAATTAGCGACACCAATTATTGGCGGGAAATTGCTCGGTTATTGGATCTATCGATTGCACCCCTCCCTCCTCGTGACCCCCACACCCCCCCCCCACCAACACCCCCCACCCCACCCCACGTGACCTACACCTCACCACCACCATACTCACCCTAAACCCGCCATCCTCACCCCAACACCTCATCACCACGACACTCACCTCAATGACACTAGCCCTCACCACCACGACACTCACCTCAAGCTCGTGACACCTCACCACCACGACACTCACCTCGAGCTCGTGACACCTCACCACCACCATACTCACCTCAACGACACTAGTCCTCACCACCACGACACTCACCTCAAGCTCGTGACACCTCACCACCACCACACTCACCTCAATGACACTAGCCCTCACCACCACGACACTCACCTCAAGCTCGTGACACCTCACCACCACGACACTCACCTCAAGCTCGTGACATCTCACCACCACCACACTCACCTCAATGACACTAGCCCTCACCACCACGACACTCACCTCAAGCTCGTGACACCTCACCACCACGACACTCACCTCAAGCTCGTGACACCTCACCACCACCATACTCACCTCAAGCTCGTGACACCTCACCACCACGACACTCACCTCGAGCTCGTGATACCTCACCACCACGACACTCACCTCAAGCTCGTGACACCTCACCACCACCATACTCACCTCAAGCTCGTGACACCTCACCACCACGACACTCACCTCGAGCTCGTGACACCTCACCACCACCATACTCACCTCAAGATACCTCACCTCGAGCTCGTGACACCTCACCACCACCATACTCACCTCAATGACACTAGCCCTCACCACCACGACACTCACCTCAAGCTCGTGACACCTCACCACCACGACACTCACCTCAATGACACTAACCCTCACCACCACCAGACTCACCTCAAGCTCGTGACACCTCACCACCACCATACTCACCTCGATGACACTAGCCCTCACCACCACGACACTCACCTTACTCCCGCAACAGCCCCTCACCCCAAGAACAGCTCACCAACATGGTACACACAACTCACTCTCATAACGCTAACCTCGCCACTACGACCCTCACTCACCTCACCTACGGACACCTCACCTCAATGGCACCCCTCACCTCCATAACGCCCCCTCACTCGCGTAACGCTCACCTAACCCCAGTGACAGCTCACCTCACCTCACCCACCACGACACACAACTCACTCAATATCTCCCACGGCTCTGTGCACGCCACATCACCTCCCCCCCCCGCCTCCCTGCTCCTCACCAAACTCCCACCTGCACCACTCACCACAACTCTCGCCTCAACCCTCACCGAACCTGCAACGCGCCCTCAGTACGGTGCGAAAGAAGTTCAACGTTGCCCGGATGGCCCCTCACCCCGCTCACCACCCCCGTGGTGTCTCTGCTGCCCTCTGCTGTCGAGACGCGGTATCGCGGGCAACGACAACGACAAGAATATAAAACACGTTAAATTTTGATTTGAAGCTTTCGTGACTGCAGGGATTCATATTCTTGGTTCTTTCGGTAAAGTCACCACGTAGAAGGGAAACAATAAAATAATAAAATACATTTTATAAAATAATATATTTAATTATTTCATTGTTTCCCTTCTACGTGACTTTACCGAAAGAACCAAGAATAAAAAACACGTTCGTTCGGAGTGGGCAGGTAGGAACTTGGTTGGACAGCGCATCCGTGCGATCCGTGTTGGATTACCGTAGTCGTGTTGGAGGTGGTAGCTGTTACCATTGCATCTGATGATGATTCTCGATTTATTGCTGATGTTGCTCTTTAAGTTCATGCAAGTCGCTACCCCTGTGCTGTGACGTCGCCTCCTGCGTGCACCACGCGCGCCAATCCACCTGACCTGGTCCTTGATCGGCCACGATGCCGTCGTGATCGCGCACCACGGTGCACGATGTTGAGCAGGGCGTAGACGCCGCAGTCGGAGCCGCTCGGTTGCTGCGGCACAAGAGCACCGTGGCGATCGCCACCGGCGTGCTCGCCGGCTCGGCGCGCACGACCCGGGCCACCACCGCGCTGGCGAAGGCCGCGGTCGTGTTGGCGTTGCGCGACTGTCCCGCGCAAGCAGCCATTGAGTCTTAACAGCATGGCAGTCGACCTTGGTGGGCACGTGGCGTTGACGATGACCATATGATTTGCGTATTTGCGTACGGAGGATATCATACTTTGTTCAAGCTAAAAACAACACTCACCAAATACAGATACAAATTAGTGCCCAAACTCCCAATTATGCGGATGGGATTCCGGATATGCACGACAGACAGACAAATAATCCCTGGTGGGCAGTGTGGAATCTGTTGTTCCTACCTGTAAAACTACAAACTATTATTGTGTTGCGATCGGAACGTCGTGGTTTTTGTTTGCTTTTATTTTTAATTTACCTTTCATTTAAATTTTATTTTTTTATTTTATATCTACGTGACTTTACCGAAAGAACCGTGAATACGAATTACTGCAGGCGCGAAAGCTTTAAGTAAACATTTAAGTCAAATTTTCATCTTGATTTAAAGCTTTCGCGACTGCAGGAACTCACAGAAAATAAGAGATCACGACGTTTCGATCACAACACAAGGCGATAGCTTGTGTTGCGATCGAAACATCATGATCTCTTATTTTCTATTTACATCACTTGACTGAAAGACCGAAAGAGTATAAAAATGTTATTTTACTTTACCAGGTAAGGCCCCACTGAGCTATGTAATTATCGCTCTTTCTCGGAAGCGACCTGGTTATCACAAACGATAGCTCAACGAAGTGGCTTGTCATCATCACGTGGACATTTAAATCAGCCAAATTCTCTAAACGGGTGACGTTGATTCTAAACGTGGAGGGAAAATCCGGAGGACCCGGAGAAAAATCCGTCAGGGTCGGGAATGGAACCCACCATCTCCTGTATACCAGACGAGGTAGTTAACACCTCCTCGCCACCGCGGGTGACGCTGCTCTGTTAACCTCGTCCGAGGGGTTCATGCTGGCCAGGGCAGGCCTGGTTCATCATAGCCACGTCGAAGTCACCGAGTCAAACTCGCCGTAATACCGGTTCGAGATTTGGGTCTGGGTGTCTCTCTCTGTCTCTCAGAGGTGTTCAAAATGGCCTTGTCAGGGACACGGCAACCTGGTTCAAGTCCCAGCCCGGGGTCTAGGTATCTCTCTTAGGGTGGTTTATAATGGCCTTTCCCATGTCACTGATGACCTGGATTCAAGTCCAATCCCTGGGTATCTCTCTCAGGGGGGTTCATAATGGTCTTTCTCATGTCACTGAATACCTAGGTTCAAGTCCAAGCCCTGGGTATGGGTGCCTCTCTCAGTGAGTTCATAATGGTCTTTCCCATGTCACTGAATACCTAGGTTCAAGTCAAAGCCCTGGGTATGGGTGTCTCTCTCAGTGAGTTTATAATGGCCTTTCCCATGTCACTGAACACCTGGGTTCAAGTCCAAGCCCTGGGTATGGGTGTCTCTCTCAGTGAGTTCATAATGGCCTTTCCCATGTCACTGAATACCTGGGTTCAAGTCCCAGCCCTGGGCATGGGTGTCTCTCTCAGGGGGGGTTCCGAATGGCCTTATCAGGGACACGGATTACCTGGGTTCAAGGCCAAGCCCGGGGTATGGGTGTCTCTCTAAATCGGCTCAGAATGGCTAAGTTTGCCTCCACATTCAGAAAATTGCATTTAGATTATTGAGATTATTGAGATGACTTTTGCTGCTGTGGCTTTCCGCATGGTATATGACTTTGTTGAGCTGTCATTTCTGACAGCCAGGTCGCTTCTGAAGTTAATGGCTAAGTGGGCCTTACCTGCCAAGATACAAAAAACACAGTTTAGTTTTATGCGTGTATACATTTGAAAGTTATTTACCTTTTCTATACATTGCACTCCTATCGTGTTTTTGTAATGTTTGTTCTACCATTATGGCCTGCCCCCTTACTGGACATCTGTAGAGAAAAAATAGCTGGATAGCTTATCGGATTCCTCCAGTTCCTAATAGATTCAGATATCAGAGGCACCGATGACGTCACGCCGATGTCGCCACGCTGGTTGCGTCATGTACACGGTGGAGATGTTGATGACGTATTCGCCGCGCGGATGGCGTCACGTCGCCATGGCTTCCTTCGCGCCGGGAGATCCCATCACCACAGTGGTGGTGAGCGGCCGTGATGGTGGTGGTGGTGTGCTGATGGTGTGGTGGTGGTGTGGTGGTGATGGTGTGATGGTGGTAGTGATGGTGTGGTGGTGATGGTGGTGGTGTGGTGATGGTGTGGTGGTAGTGGTGTGGTGATGGTGTGATGGTGGTAGTGATTGTGTGGTGATGGTGTAATGGTGGTGTGGTGGTGATGGTGTGGTAAGGCGATGGTGTGGTGAGGAGCCGTGATGTAGTGGTGATGGTGGTGTGGTGGTAGTGATGGTGTGGTGATGGTGTGGTGGTGATGGTGGTGGTATGGTGGTGATGGTGGTGGTGTGGTGGTGATGGTGTGGTAATGGTGTGGTGATGGTGGTAGTGATGGTGTGGTGATGGTGTGGTGATGTTGTGGTTATGGTGTGGTAAGGCGATGGTATGGTAAGGAGCCGTGATGTAGTGGTGATGGTGGTGTGGTGGTAATGATGGTGTGGTGGTGATGGTGGTGTGGTGGTAATGATGGTGTGGTGGTGATGGTGTAAGGCGATGGTGTGGTGAGGAGCCGTGATGTATTGGTGATGGTGGTGTGGTGGTAGTGATGGTGTGGTGGTGTGGTGGTGATGGTGTGGTGGTGATGGTGTGGTGGTGGTGTGGTAATGGTGTGGTGGTGGTGTGGTGATGGTGTGGTAAGGCGATGGTGTGGTGAGAAGCCGTGATGTATTGGTGATGGTGGTGTGCTGGTAGTGATGGTGTGGTGGTGATAGTGTGGTGGTGATGGTGTGGTGGTGGTGTGGTAATGGTGGTGTGGTGGTAGTGATGGTGTGGTAAGGCGATGGTGTGGTGAGGAGCCGTGATGTAGTGGTGATGGTGGTGTGGTGGTAGTGATGGTGTGGTGGTGATGGTGGTGGTGTGGTGGTGATGGTGTGGTAATGGTGTGGTGATAGTGATGGTGTGGTGGTGATGGTGGTGTGGTGATGGTGTGGTAAGGCGATGGTATGGTGAGGAGCCGTGATGTAGTGGTGATGGTGAGGTGAGGCGCCGTGATGGTGTGGTGGTGTGGTGATGGTGTGGCGAGCAGGCGTGATGGGGCTGGTGATGGCGTGGTAGAGTGGATGGTGGTGGTGACGGTAGTGTTGACTGGTGATGTTCGTGGCGGTGTTGATGATGGAAGTGATGTTGGTGATGGTAGTAAAGTTGATGGTGATGGTGTTGATGTTGGCGATGGTGGGGAGCGGTGGTGCAACGGTTAGCACGCTGCGCTACGAACCCGACCACCCGAGTTCGATTCCCACTCACGGCCACCACCAGTGACGATTATCGGAACCGGGCACGGGGCTCCCCTAGGTCGACTCAGCCTCAAATGATCACCTGGTGCGGTGTGTGTAGTAAACATCGCCACTGGGGAGACAAAGACGGCCGGGCCTGGTGCTGTCCACCCACCCCCTCGTGTGCCACAGCGCCGGCCTTCATAGGTGCTGCTGCTACTCGCTAACAGCACTTGCCCCGACAGTCTGTCAAGGCTACACGGGGGATCTTTGTCCTTGATGTTGGCGTTGGTGATGTTGGCTCCTTCGATTATCACGGTTGGCTACGTACAGTGCGAAAGAAGTTCAACATACATACGTGATGTTGGTGTTGATGGTGGTGGTGTTGATGGTGGTGGTGTTGTTGCTGGTGATGTTGATGATGTTGGCGTTGATGATGTTGGTGGTGCTGATGGTGACGTTGATGTTGCTGGTGATGTTGATGATGTTGGCAGTGGTGATGTTGGTCGTGACGGTGTTGATGCTAGCGGTGTTGATGTTGATGGCGGTGTTGACTTTGACGATGTTGACGTTGACGGTGTTGAAGTTGTCGGTGATGATGTTGGTGGTGTTGATGGTGGTGTTGATGGTGACGTTGATGTTGCTGGTGATGTTGATGATGTTGGCGGTGGTGATGTTGGTCGTGACGGTGTTGATGTTAGCGGTGTTGATGTTGATGGCGGTGTTGACTTTGACGATGTTGACGTTGACGGTGTTGAAGTTGTCGGTGATGATGTTGATGTTGGTGATGGACCCAGGAGCGGATTGAGATCCACAAACTGCGCCAGGGAGAGAACCTCATCCTGGGCTTCAGCATCGGGGGCGGCATTGACCAGGACTCAGCGCAGAACCCATACTCACTTGACAAGAAGGACAAGGTACTGTCTCCCCGCCGTCTCCCGTTGTCTCCCCGTCTCCTCTCTCTCGCTCGCTGTCTCCCGTAGTTTCCCCATCTCCTGCTGTCTCCCGTAGTCTCCCCATCTGCTGCCTCCCTGTCTCCCACTTTCTCCGCTGTCTCCCGCTGTCTCCAGCTTTCTCCGCTATCTCCCTGCTGTCTCCGCTGTCTCCCACTTTCTCCCCATCTCCCGCTGTCTCCCGCTGTCTCCCGCTGTCTCCCACTTTCTCAGCTGTCTCCGCTGTCTCCGCTGTCTCCCGCTTTCCCCACTCTCTCCGCTGTCTCCCACTTTCTCCGCTGTCTCCGCTGTCTCCCACTTTCTCCGCTGTCTCCCGCTGTCTCCCACTTTCTCAGCTGTCTCCGCTGTCTCCCGCTGTCTCCCGCTGTCTCCCACTTTCTCAGCTGTCTCCGCTGTCTCCCACTTTCTCCGCTGTCTCCTGCCGTCTCCCGCTGTCTCCGCCGTCTCCCCGTCTTCCGCTTTCTCCGCTGTCTCCCGCTGTCTCCCACTTTCTCCGCTGTCTCCAGCTGTCTCCCGCTGTCTCCCGCTGTCTCCCACTTTCTCAGCTCTCTCCGCTGTCTCCCACTTTCTCCGCTGTCTCCAGCTGTCTCCCGCTGTCTCCCGCTGTCTCCCACTTTCTCAGCTGTCTCCGCTGTCTCCCACTTTCTCCGCTGTCTCCTGCCGTCTCCCGCTGTCTCCGCCGTCTCCCCATCTTCCGCTTTCTCCGCTGTCTCCAGCTGTCTTCACTGCTTCCCACTTTCTCCGCTGTCTCCGCTGTCTCCGCCGTCTCCGCCGTCTCCGCCGTCTCCCCGTCTTCCCGTCTTCCCCTTTCTCCGCTCTCTCCCGCTATCTCCCACTTTCTCCCACTTTCTCCCACTTTCTCCGCTGTCTCCCGCTGTCTCCCGTCCTCCCGTAGGTGCTGCTGCTCGCTAACAGCACTTGCCCCAACGGTCTGTTGAAAGGCTACACGGGGGATCTTTGTCTTTGCAGGGTGTGTACGTGACCAGGGTGAGTCAGGGAGGGCCAGCTCAAGCGGCGGGCCTCCGTGAGGGAGACAAGATCATGCAGGTGAGGAGGTGGTGGTGAGGAGGTGGTGGTGAGGAGGAGGTGAGCGTGCGCGGGGATGATTGCTCAACCCAGCACCCCGTACTGGAGATCTGTGAAAAAGAGCTTTGTGGCTCGTCGGATTATTCCAGTCTAAAGAGTCCGATTCTGAAAAACAAAAGAGTGATGACGAAAGTGACGATGGTAGTGACTGTGACAGTTGATGAGAGTAACCATGGTGATGGTAGTGACTGTGACGGTTGATGAGAGTAACCATGGTGATGGTAGTGACTGTGATGGTTGATGAGAGTAACCATGGTGATGGTGGTGGCGATGGTAGTGACTGACGGTTGATGAGAGTAACCATGGTGATGGTGGTGACTGACGGTTGATGAGAGTAACCATGGTGATGGTAGTGACTGTGACGGTTGATGAGAGTAACCATGGTGATGGTAGTGACTGTGATGGTTGATGAGAGTAACCATGGTGATGGTGGTGGCGATGGTAGTGACTGTGACGGTTGATGAGAGTAACCATGGTGATGGTGGTGATGGTAGTGACTGTGATGGTTGATGAGAGTAACCATGGTGATGGTAGTGACTGTGATGGTTGATGAGAGTAACCATGGTGATGGTAGTGACTGTGATGGTTGATGAGAGAACCATGGTGATGGTAGTGACTGTGATGGTTGATGAGAGTAACCATGGTGATGGTGGTGGTAGTGACTGTGACGGTTGATGAGAGTAACCATGGTGATGGTGATGGTAGTGACTGTGACGGTTGATGAGAGTAACCATGGTGATGGTAGTGACTGTGACGGTTGATGAGAGTAACCATGGTGATGGTAGTGACTGTGATGGTTGATGAGAGTAACCATGGTGATGGTAGTGACTGTGATGGTTGATGAGAGTAACCATGGTGATGGTGGTGGCGATGGTAGTGACTGTGACGGTTGATGAGAGTAACCATGGTGATGGTAGTGACTGTGATTGTTGATGAGAGTAACCATGGTGATGGTGGTGGCGATGGTGGTGACTGTAATGGTTGATGAGAGTAACCATGGTGATGGTGGTGACTGTGATGGTTGATGAGCGTAACCATGGTGATGGTAGTGGTGATGGTAGTGACTGTGACGGTTGATGAGAGTAACCATGGTGATGGTAGTGACTGTGACGGTTGATGCGAGTAACCATGGTGATGGTGGTGATGGTAGTGACTGTGATGGTTGATGAGAGTAACCATGGTGATGGTAGTGATGGTAGTGACTGACGGTTGATGAGAGTAACCATGGTGATGGTAATGACTGTGATGGTTGATGAGAGTAACCATGGTGATGGTAGTGACTGTGATGGTTGATGAGAGTAACCATGGTGATGGTGGTGGTAGTGACTGTGACGGTTGATGAGAGTAACCATGGTGATGGTGGTGACTGTGACGGTTAATGAGAGTAACCATGGTGATGGTGGTGACTGACGGTTGATGAGAGTAACCATGGTGATGGTGGTGATGGTGGTGACTGACGGTTGATGAGAGTAACCATGGTGATGGTAGTGACTGTGACGGTTGATGAGAGTAAGCATGGTGATGGTGGTGGTAGTGACTGTGATGGTTGATGAGAGTAACCATGGTGATGGTAGTGGCTGTGATGGTTGATGAGAGTAACCATGGTGATGGTAGTGACTGTGACGGTTGATGAGAGTAACCATGGTGATGGTAGTGACTGTGACGGTTGATGAGAGTAACCATGGTGATGGTGGTGGCGATGGTGGTGACTGTGATGGTGATGGTGGTGGCGATGGTGGTGACTGTGACGGTTAATGAGAGTAACCATGGTGATGGTGGTGATGGTAGTGACTGACGGTTAATGAGACTAACCATGCTGATGGTAGTGGTGTTGGTGATGTTGGTCGTTGTAGTGACTTTGACGAAAGCAGTGACGCTATTGGTGATGGTGTTGGCAATGACGGTGATGGCTGTAGTGTCGATGATGATGATGGCGGTGGTGTCAGCGTTGATGATGATGATGGCGGTGGTGTCGGTGATGGTGGCTACGATGTTGCCCGCGTCTGTCGGTGACGATGTCGTCGACGACGGTGACGTCGCGGGCGACGATGCGGGTTGACGTCGCGGGCGACGATGCGGGTTGACGCCGTGGGCGGTGGTGGCGGTGGTGCAGGTGAACGGCTGGGACATGACGATGGTGACGCACGACCAGGCGCGCCGCAAGCTCACCAAGCAGGGCGAGGAGGTGGTGCGGCTGCTGGTGACGCGGCGCTCGCTGCAGACCGTCGTGCACCACGCACAGCACATGCTGTGAGGGCAGCGCCACCGGGGGGGGGCAAGGGGGGGCAGGGCTGCAGTGGGACAGGGCCCAGTGGGACAGGGCTCAGCACGGCAAGGGCTCAGCACCTCAGGGGTAAGGTCACAGAGAGAGGGGGGGGGGGGGCTGGTGGGACCGACCACAGAGAATCCATTTCAGCTTAGCGAGGTGCGCAAATGGATGGGACCGGACGTTCCGCCACCCTCCCCCCTCTCTGCTGCCGGTGCCACGGAGTTGCAGACTCCGAGTTCGATTTCCAGCGCTGCCGACGCGGATGGGGGGGGGGAGGGGGCAGGGGAACGTGGCGCCGGGTTTATTAAAATCGGCGCCTGCTGAACGAGAGGTGTTCTGAGTCGGGCGTAACTTATGCAGTTTCCTCATCCAGCGTCTTATCACTTCGGTGTTTCCTATGCAGGTTTACAGAGCTGCGCGACGCGTGTACAACGAACCAAACACAAGAAGCCGTCACGAGCGTTACATTGTTTACACTCCCATCAATTGGCGATTACGTCTTCACGATATGTAGAAGACTGCAGAGCTTGTGGCGAGGTGGGAGATATTTGGTGCCGGCTCAACGCGTGGCTGCTGCTGCTGCTTCCCCGCTCCTGGCGCCTCTGAGTTGTTCCCTCGCTGAGCGAGCGTCACGCTGCGGCCGTGTGTGTGTGCATGTGTGCGTGTGTGTGCGCGTGTGTGCGTGTGTGTGTGCGTGTGTGCGTGTGTGTGCGCGTGTGTGCGTGTGTGTGCGCGTGTGCGTGTGTGTGCGTGTGTGTGTGCGTGTGTGTGTGCGTGTGTGTGTGCGTGTGTGTGCGTGTGTGTCCGCATGTGTGCGTGTGTGTGCGTGTGTGCGCGTGTGTGTGTGTGCGCGTGTGTGTGCGCGTGTGTGTGTGTGCGTGTGTGTGCGCGTGTGTGTGTGCGTGTGCGTGTGTGTGCGTGTGTGTGTGTGCGTGTGCGTGTGTGTGCGTGTGTGCGTGTGTGCGTGCGTGTGTGTGTGACGCGGCGTTGCGCGAGTGGAAATCATCCTCACACCGGTAAGAAAAAACTCGACAGCACTCCGGGCTTCAAAAAATCAAAACTTATGCAATCCGTGATGACGTTTCAGGGCCAACGGTCCCCTCTTCACAGCACGTGGAGGTGCAGTGTTGAGTCTATGGTGCAGTGTAGCGTCTATGTGCAGTGTTGAGTCTATGGGCAGTGTTGAGTCTATGCTAAGTGTTTTGAGTCTATGGGCAGTGTTTAGTCTACGGACAGTGTTGAGTCTATGGGCAGTGTTGAGTCTATGGGCAGTGTTGAGTCTATGGGCAGTCTTGAGTCTATTGGCAGTGCTGAGTCTATGGGCAGTGTTAGTCTATGGGCAGTGTTGAGTCTATGGTGCAGTGTTGAGTCTATGGTGCAGTGTTGAGTCTATGGTGCAGTGCTGAGTCTACGGTGCAGTGTTGAGTCTATGGGCAGTGTTGAGTCTATGGTGCAGTGCTGAGTCTATGGTGCAGTGTTGAGTCTATGGGCAGTGTTGAGTCTATGGTGGAGTGTTGAGTCTATGGTGCAGTGTTGAGTCTATGGTCAGTGTTAGTCTATGGGCAGTGCTGAGTCTATGGGCAGTGTTAGTCTATGGGCAGTGCTGAGTCTATGGGCAGTGTTAGTCTATGGGCAGTGCTGAGTCTATGGGCAGTGTTAGTCTATGGGCAGTGCTGAGTCTATGGGCAGTGTTAGTCTATGGGCAGTGCTGAGTCTATGGGCAGTGTTGAGTCTATGGGCAGTGTGAGCGTATGTAATGTTGAACTTCTTCCGCACTGTACGTAGCCGACCGTGCTAATCTGCGGTGCGGGGGGGGGGGGGTAAGAACTGTGTTGTGAAGAAGGCCCCTTTACCGAAACGTCACCTATTTTATATGAATAACTTTACATTTTATTTTCAAGGCCACAGTGTTATCGACGAGCTATTGCCGAGTCGTTTGTGGTAGCAGCGGCGCAGGATGACTTGTCGTCACCACAGCGGTGTTTGTGTGCGGTCTCCCGAATCGTTTTCCGCGAGTTTTCTGCAATCGAGCGCTTTGTGTAGGCAGTTTTTTTTTATATATATCGAGGGTACCCCTTTTTATAATTATCGACCCGGTTTTATACCTCTCGGATTTGTATTCCCCCGCCACCACCCACCCCTATGCAGTGTAAAAGTCGACGCTTCTTATGCGGCCGCTGTTCAACGCGTTGTGGGGGGGGGAGGGGGTGGCGGATGGCCCTTCCACACTGCCATGCAGTTTTCACTGAATCGGCGATTCTCGCGCGGCGTTTCCACGTCGGGTGTTTTTTTCAACCGGTCGGTATCGAGCAGTGTTATTAACAAAAAGAGTTATTAAAATAAAGAATAGAAAGTGACGTTTCCTCGCAGCCGTGTCCGTCCCGGAGAGGAGTCGTGCGCGGTGTTGGGACGCGAGAGTGCCACGTGACCCCCACACCCCCGCCGGGACCACCCGGAGGAGATGGAGCGGGGCTGTAATCACGAGGAGCCACGTCTCAGGATCTGAACTCGCGAGTCTATGGTGCAGTGGTGAGTCTATGGGGCAGTGTTGAGTCTATGGTGCAGAGTTGAGTCTATGGTACAGTGTTGAGTCTATGGGGCAGTGTTGAGTCTATGGTGCAGTGTTGAGTCTATGGGGCAGTGTTGAGTCTATGGTGCAGTGTTGTATCTATGGGCAGTGTTGAGTCTATGTGCAGTGTTGAGTCTATGGTGCAGTGTTGAGTCTATGGTGCAGTGTTGAGTCCATGGGCAGTGTTGAGTCTATGGGCAGTGTTGAGTCTATGGGCAGTGTTGAGTCTATGGGCAGTGTTGAGTCTATGGGCAGTGTTGAGTCTATGGTGTAGTGTTGAGTCTATGGGGCAGTGTTGAGTCTATGGTGTAGTGTTGAGTCCATGGGCAGTGTTGAGTCTACGCGCAGTGTTGAGTCTATGGTGCAGTGTTGAGTCTATGGTGCAGTGTTGAGTCTATGGGCAATGTTGAGTCTTTGGTGGGGTGCAGTGTTGAGTCTATGGGGCAGTGTTGAGTCTATGGTGCAGTGTTGAGTCTATGGGGCAGTGTTGAGTCTGTGGGCAGTGTTGAGTCTATGGTGCAGTGTTGAGTCTATGGGGCAGTGTTGAGTCTATGGTGCAGTGTTGAGTCCATGGGCAGTGTTGAGTCTATGGGCAGTGTTGAGTCTATGGTGCAGTGTTGAGTCTATGGGGCCGTGTTGAGTCTATGGTGCAGTGTTGAGTCCATGGGCAGTGTTGAGTCTATGGGCAGTGTTGAGTCTATGGTGCAGTGTTGAGTCTGTGGGCAGTGTTGAGTCTATGGTGCAGTGTTGAGTCTATGGTGCAGTGTTGAGTCCATGGGCAGTGTTGAGTCTATGGGCAGTGTTGAGTCTATGGTGCAGTGTTGAGTCTATGGTGCAGTGTTGAGTCTATGGTGCAGTGTTGAGTCTATGGGGCAGTGTTGAATCTATGGTGCAGTATTGAGTGTATGGGTGGCAGTGTTGAGTCTATGGTGCAGTGTTGAGTCTATGGACATTGTTGAGTCTATGGGCATTGTTGAGTCTATGGGCAGTGTTGAGTCTATGGTAAGTGTTTTGAGTCTATGGGCAGTGTTGAGTCTATGGGTGACAGTGTTGAGTTTATGGTGCAGTGTTAGTCTGGCCAGTGTTGAGTCTATGGTGCAGTGTTAGTCTGGGCAATGTTGAATCTATGGGTAGCAGTGTTAGTCTATGGCAGTGTTGAATTTATGGGTAGCAGTGTTAGTCTGGCCAGTGTTGAGTCTATGGTGCAGTGTTAGTCTGGGCAGTGTTGAATCTATGGGTAGCAGTGTTAGTCTGGCCAGTGTTGAGTCTATGGGTAGCAGTGTTAGTCTGGGCAGTGTTGAGTCTATGGGTAGCAGTGTTAGTCTATGGCAGTGTTGAGTCTATGGGTCGCAGTGTTAGTCTGGCCAGTGTTGAGTCTATGGGTAGCAGTGTTAGTCTATGGCAGTGTTTCTTAACCTGGTGTGATGATGATTGAGAACTTAAGGCGTGCTTACTGCAGTAAAGGTGAAGAACCATTGGTCTATGTACGTTGAACTTTTCACGTCGTGTATAGCCAACCGTGCTAATCGGAGGTGCAGTGTTGAGTCTATGGGCAGTGTCGATCTATAGGCGGTATGTACGTATGTTGAACCTCTTTCGTACCGTACGTAGGCCACCGTGCTAATCGGAGGTGCGGGGGGGAAGGACAAACCAAAACAAAAAAAGCAGTTCGAAATAAAATTAGTTTTCCAATCTAGACGACGATTTAAGAGTGCATTGCGAGCACCGAGCTTCCCGGGCCGGATGAAGCCTTTAAATCGCGGCACCAAAGCACTGCTCACACAGCCTGGACCAGGAATCTCACTCGTCACATAGCAGCCGAGCTGACCCACGCGCGGTTAATAAACGTGGGTTTTTTAGTTTTTGTTGTCAAGCACAGAACCCAAGGTCGAGCGAGCAGCTTGCGGTTGGAGCGTTGCGAGATCTCATCCTTGTTTGGGCGGTGGGTCAAGTCGGCCCATCATCCCTCCAGGGTCTATAAAATGAGCACTACTTTACGGCGGAAGACAGCAGTGGTTGTCTTGTGTGGACTCGTTCCCCCCCACCCCGGCCCACCCAACACGTGACAGGAATGAGGATTTTCCACCAGTGGCTCGGCGGAACTGTGCACAGTGAGCTGATCACGGATGGCCTCGGTGCTCGGTGGAAGCCGGAAATCACCCTTTCACTTTGTTGTTGTCATGCACCACCACCCCCTGCCCCCTCGCGCGAATGCAAGAATGAAACTTTGGGAAGCCGTACGAGAATTCACGCAGAGGGCGGCCGAGAACGCTTGCACCTCCGATTAGCGCGTTTGGCTACGTCCGGCGCGAGAAGAAGCTCAACGTACATACATACATACGTGCACCGTGCATACAACAGGGGCCGGCGTTGGCAGAGAGGCGGCGGAGACGGCATCCAAAAGCAAAACCCCGGGGAGTCTCTCCGCAGATGGCGCCTTACGCCGCGCTCGCTCCCCACCAAACGATCCCCACCTGGGGCCTCGTGTGGCTTTGGGAATGGCGCTCGGTACACGAGTCTCTCCTCCGTGGGCCTGACGGGCGTGGAAGACTTCTGACCAAGCACCCCCCCCCCCCCCCCAAGGAGGGGGTTCTCGCTTGGCGCCGTGGTCCGTGCGGTTCTGTCAACGACCACGAGAGAACGCCACGTGTCCCCAGGCCCCCTGGGGGGGGCGCTGCGAGTTGGGAACGGCGCGTGATATGCGATGCGTGACATGCTGCGACACGCTTTCCGCGCATTCTCCACGTACACACTCCAAACACACGACGCGCCAACACAAACACGCCACTCCCAAAACACTCCACGCTCCAACAAACACACTCCGCTCCCAAACACTCCACGCTCCAACAAACACACTCCGCTCCCAAACATTCCACGCTCCAACAAACGCGCACACGCACACCGAAAGGGCACTACCCATGCTCCTCTCAAAAACACCCCCACACGCTCCGTAACACTCCCAACGCAACTGCCACTCCTCTCCCGAAAACTCCACGATAGACTGCCACGTTCCATCCCAGAAATACTACCCCCCCCCCCCATTGCTGCACACCGCACCACTCCTCTCCAAAGCACTCCAGCGTGAACCGCTGTGTTCCACAAACACTTCACACGCCCCAAAACGCTTCCAAAACAGTTTGGGGGGGAAAAAAAAGACATTTATTTGCACTTGAGACGAAAAGTGGGGGGGGAGTAAACTAAGTGAAAAACAGCAACGACAACTGCACGCACGCGCCACGGGGACTCGCTGGGACTCGGGGACTCGCGGGGACTCGGGGACTCGCGGCGCTGGGACTCGCGCCACGGGGACTCGGGGACTCTGGGGGACTCAGGAACTCGCGGGGACTCGGGACGCGGGGACTCGGGGGGACTCAGGAACTCGCGGGGACTCGGGACGCGGGGACTCGCGCCACCGGGACTCGCGCTGGCGCTAGCGGGCGCTCTCTGTCGCGCTGCCACCGCCGATCGATTGGGGGACCGATTGGGATCAAAGCTACAGGAAAGCGTTAACCACGGGGTTTGTAGATTCTCACCCAACTATATTACAGCTCATTAGTGGGGGGGGGGGGGGGGGTACTGGATGTGGTGTGTTGGGATGGGTGGCCAACCCAGACTGAGCTGCTCACGTAGCTCTTTTTCAGAGGCGATCTGGCCCGTCGCAAATGATAGCTCGCGCGAAGCCGCTTGCCGTCATCGCGTGGAAATTTAAAGCGGCAGCCAACCACTCTTTTTAAGTGCGTGATGCCGATTCTAATTGTGGAGGGGAGGAAAAAAAAAAACGGGAGGATCCGGAGAAAAATCCACACGACCAGCAGGAGGCGTCAGGGTCGGGATCGAACCCACGACCTCCTGCATACCACGAGAGGTAGCTGACATCTCCAAGCCACCGTGGCCACAGGGCACCGGCGAACACACAACCGCCCGGAACACCACATCCAGTAAACCACCACTCGGGAGAACGGACGCCACCAGCTGCCCGCGACACACCCAGAGTGAATTATTGCCCAGAATAGGAAGAGGTATCTGTTCACCCCCCATCTATTCTCGGGACCACCACCCCGACGACGACGCCCTCCCCTGTGGTGACGCGCCTGCCGCTTCCCCCGAGTGGGCGCGGAGGGTGGCGTGGAACGGGGTGGGGGGGGGGGGTGCAGGACTGCGAACGGCAAATTAAACCACGGGCGTCTTCGTCGGCTCAACGACGACTCGGGGCTCCTCAAGATGCTCTCCGGCGCTTTAGACGGAGAAGAAGGCCTCACCGAGTCCGTGTTCCACGACGGCTCGTCAACGGTGGCGGCGGCGGGAGGTGGGTGGGGGCGCTCGGTGGAATGAGCACATGGTTGCCGCTACTGCCATAAATGTCGCTGGTTCCGACAGCCCGAGTATAAATCAGCGACGCGATCAAATACCAGCGGCTCGTGCCAGCGTGTGTGTAATGCTCACACGAAGATGCAGATGCCCCCCCCCCTCACTGCCCCCCCCCCTGCCGTGTATCCGACACAGGCTGCTGGGGAAAGTTCTATTATGTCCAAGGACGGGTGTATATTGTTCAGCTCATGATTATTAATGAGGGGGGGGTTGCCCCATGTGGAGTGACGTCACCCACTAATTATTATTGGGGAGGGGTGCGGCATGTGGAGTGACGTCACCCACTCATGAATATTAATGAGGGTGGGCCTCATGTGGAGTGACGTCACACGGGGGGGGGGGGAGGGGGGGCCTCTTGTGAAGTCACACACGGGACGGACAGACATTTATGGATGATTGCAGTCGGTAACTTGACCAGGTAAGGCCCAGTACAAAGGCAGAAGTGGCCTGGCAACAAATGACCGTGCGACAAAGTGCCTTGCCATCGTGTAAAAATTTATAGCAGACAAATACTCTTAAGCGCGCGACGTCGATTCTCAATGTGGGAGGGGGAAAAGGACCCGGAGAAAAATCCACGCGACCACGGTGAGAGAGAGACACGCAAATTCCAAATATACAGCAGCAGCAGGCGTCAGCGTCGTGATCGAACCCCAGGCGAAGGAGCAAACATCTCGCCACCGCGGCACCCCCCTGCACCTACGAAGGCCGGCATGGCACACGAAGGTGGTTGGTAGTGGCGGTGTAGCCAGCACCACTACCGGATCCTGTACCGAGTCTTCCCCACAACCCCCCCCCCCAGTGCCGGTGTCGCTAACGTGCCAGGTTCTGATTGAAAGCCAGAGTTGACTTATGGGAGGGTGGGTCAAGGTATCGCGAGTGAAACGTGCTAGCCGTGGGTGGGCTATCGCATCCGGGTCGCCAGGTTCGTAGCGCAGTGCGGCCAGCCAGTGCCACCGTGCGTGTCTGCGCACACACACACACACACGTGTCTGCGCGCACACACACACACACACGTGTCTGCGCACACACACACACACACGTGTCCAGACGCGCGCAGGCACCGCGAGTCATTCCTCGACCTGCGCCCACCTCTCTCGCCGCGTCCACCCCTCCCTCTCGCCGTTTAAGTGCTCGGTTATGGTCAACTCGGCCTATCGTAAACATCACCATCTATTTGGGGTCATTAAAGTGTACCACCGTCAGCACCTCCGATTGGCTTCGGATGGCGAGAAAGAAGCTCAACATACAAACACACGACCCTATTCAACAGATTGGGTCCTGCCATGGGAATGTGGAATTTGGAGATGTTTGTCTCGAGTTCCCAGACACCTGTGCCACTAAACGGGGGGGGGGGGGTCCAAAAACACAACTTTCAGAGTCTTGCGACTGCACACGTGTACACGAGCACACGCCATGCACCAAGGTGCTGCCCTAGCAATGTTGAACAAGCCCGGGCCTATCTTACGATCGCAAACAACGCAGATTCTAGCGTCCCTCTATAGATTTGCCTCCGTCATGTATTTTATATACTTTGTATATATATACACACACACGCCATAATACTTGCTCAAGCAACAATTTTTTGTACACGGGGCTTATATATACACACACACACAAACACACGTACATGGCACGTGTGTACACGCGCGCACACACACCGACAATGGTAGCTTTTAACACTCTCGCGGAGCGCAAGCGAGCACATCGCCACCGTTACTTTCATCTCCGCCGCCCCACTGTTCCTACACAGTGAATGCCGCGCAGGGCCCAGGAACTAGCATTAGATACCACCCGCTACCCGCCCCGGAACATGGATTGGAAGCCACGGGCCCCGAGCGGCTCGTGTTTGGTTACCGTCGAAACAACTTTGGTGGTATTTCTCCGTTGGCTGTTCGGCGCATACCGGGATGGGGGGGGGTGGCACTCCCACGCGGTCACCGCGGAGGGGAGTTTTGCGCAAGGCAGCCGCGGGGGGCGAAGACAACGGAGCCCTGGAATCAGAATAAAGGGCCCTGAAACTGGAATTTGGACGCTCGGACCAATCAGTGGCGGCGTCCCCCTCTGGGGCTCACGAGGAGAACGCCCCCCTTTACTCGAGGCGCTCGATGACGTCGAGCTCGCTAAATGGGCGACACGGAATGGAATGATTTCGATCGGGGGGGGGGGGGGGAAAGGGGGGTGTCGGTGCTAAGGAGGATTGAGGAACGGGCGACGGCGATAGAGAGGTTCCACTTTAGGGATCACGAAGGGAGGAACGGAGGGAGCTTAAGGAGGGGGGGCAGCTTCGTGTACAGGGGGAAGTTGATTCTAGTGGAGGGGGGCAAGGGAGGGAGACGGATCGGAAACGGGGATTGGGCACGGTGAGATTGAAGGACCAAGAGAGACCGAGAGAAGATTGGGAAGGAAGAGGACGAGTGAGGGAGGGGGAGACATGGAAGAGGAAGGGACGAGGGTGGGGCGAGGCCATCGAGAGATTTACAGACGAGCACCATCGTCACCATCCTCCTCGTCCATAAGCTGAGCACGGTCCCCCTGGTTTCCCCATTCTCCCGACGGAGAACGTCGCGCGTACAGGGACGAGAGCTAGGGGGCTTAGGATTCAGACTGAGGCGTTAATAGTTATGGGTTGAAGTTCTGGGGGATAGGGTTTAGAGTCAGGGTACCTACGTGACTTTACCGAAAGAACCAAAGAGTATGGATTCCTGCAGTCACGAAAGAAGCTTCAAATAAAGATTGCAGAGTAAAGGTTTAGGGGCAATCGGTTTGGGGTGAGGGTCAACGATTTGGGATTACGGTGTCAGGCTGGGGGTGGGGGCGGGGGGGGGTTTGGGAACCGAGCTTGGGAAGTCGCGGTCAGGGTCAGGAGGTCGAGGCTACGAGGCCGGCAGGAGGGAGCGCAGAGCGTCGCGCGTCGCCGGGGCCAGCTGCTCGGGGAAGCGCACGCTCAGCTCCACCACGAGGTCCCCGCGCCGCCCGGGGGCCTTGGGCAGCGGGAGGCCCTCCCCTTGCACGCGGCGACGCCAGCCCGGGGACACCACCTCCGTCAGCTCCAGCGTCATGTGGCGCCCGCCCAGCAGCGGCACGCGGACGCTGCCCCCGCACAGGGCCTGCGAGGCAAAGCGCGCGGCCGGTCACGGGGGGAGGGGAGGGGGGGGGGGTGTCTGTCACGCGGCGGGTCATGCGGTCGCGGGACTAGCGTGTAAGACACTGGGCGAGTACGTGCGCCGGTTATCAAGTGAACGGGTGGATTTGCGATGTATTAAGAGGGTTACGCGGGCGAGCTGTAAGGTGTTAACAGGGCGAGCTGTACGGTGTTAAAAGGGCAAGCTGTTACACAGGCAAGCTGTACGGTGTTAAAAGGGCGAGCTGTTACACGGGCGAGCTGTTACACGGGCGAGCTGTAAGGTGTTAACAGGGCGTGCTGTTACACGGGCGAGCTGTAAGGTGTTAACAGGGCGTGCTGTTACACGGGCGAGCTGTTACACGGGCAAGCTGTAAGGTGTTAACAGGGCGTGCTGTTACACGGGCGAGCTGTTACACGGGCGAGCTCTAAGGTGTTAACAGGGCGAGCTGTTACACGGGCGAGCTGTTACACGGGCGAGCTCTAAGGTGTTAACAGGGCGTGCTGTTACACGGGCAAGCTGTAAGGTGTTAACAGGGCGTGCTGTTACACGGGCAAGCTGTAAGGTGTTAACAGGGCGTGCTGTTACACGGGCGAGCTCTAAGGTGTTAACAGGGCGTGCTGTTACACGGGCGAGCTCTAAGGTGTTAACAGGGCGTGCTGTTACATGGGCAAGCTGTAAGGTGTTAACAGGGCGAGCTATTACACAGGCTAGCTGTAAGGTGTTAACAGGGCGAGCTGTTACACGGGCGAGCTGTTACACGGGCGAGCTCTAAGGTGTTAACAGGGCGTGCTGTTACACGGGCAAGCTGTAAGGTGTTAACAGGGCGAGCTATTACACAGGCTAGCTGTAAGGTGTTAACAGGGCGAGCTGTTACACGGGCGAGCTGTTACACGGGCGAGCTGCAAGGTGTTAACAGGGCGAGCTGTTACACGGGCCGTGCATTTCCGCGCAAACAACACGAGGCGAGCGGTCGCACCGACCTCGCACAGGGAGACGCTGGCGACGTGCACGAGGTCGGAGCCTTCACGCTTGAACTGGGGGTGGGGGCGGTCCTTGAGCACGAAGACGACGTCGGCGGGGATGCTGCGCCCTGTGTCGTCGCCCTCGCGCGGGAACGTGATCTTGGTGCCCTCCTTCCAGCCCTTCTTGATCTCCACCTCCAGGATCTTCTCCTCGACGCGCGACGAGCGCCCGTCGGCGCCCGCGCGCGTCCGCGAGATCTTCATCTTCTTGGTGCAGCCCGTGAGCACCTCCTCCAGCGACACTGGCAGCTCGCGCACCACCGCCGGGTCCTGCTCCTGCTGCCGGCCCCTGGCGCCGGCCCCCGCCGGCCCAACGCCGCCAAACCGGATGTTGCCGTTGCTGGACGCGCCGGGCATCCCCGGCATCCCCGGCATACCCGGCATCCCCGGCATGCCGCCCATACCCGGCATGCCGCCGAAACCGAAGGGGCCGAACGGGTTGGCGCCGGCGCCGGCGCCGCCGTCGTCCGTGTCCATGGACTCGCGGCTCTGCGTGAACATGCGGAAGGGGTCGCCGTCGCCGAAGAACGAGCGGAAGGTGGCGTGGGGGTCGCCGTGGAACTTGTAGTTGAAGAAGGTGGCCCCGTTGCCGCTGCTGCCGCTGTTGAACCTGGTGCCTCCGTTGCCCCGGAGGCCTGCGGGAGACAAATTTTTCCGCGTCACCAGGTGAGGCCCCGCTGAGCTACGTGGGGGTTCTTTTTCAGAAGCGACCTTGGCCATCACAAATAAACGGCCCGAAGAAGTGGCTCATCATCACGTGGAAATGTACAGCAGCAGCTCAACACTCTTTAAACGCGTGACGTTGCTTCTAAAATGTGGAGTGAGAAACCGGAGCACAGGGAGAACTCGCAAACTCCAAATATATACAGCAGGAGTCAGGGTGGCGATCGAACAGACGACCTCCTGTATACCTGGCGAGTTCATATCTCGCCACCGCGGTGCTTGGAGCTGGTTAGCCAACTGTGCTAATCGGAGGCCGAAAGGGTTCCGACGGCTCGGTGCTTGGAGCTGGTTGTTTCGGTTAGGAGGTGTGGGAAAAGAGGATGACGGGAAGTGGGGATTGGGGAGTCGATGAGATTAGTCGAGGGGTGGGTCACTCACGATGCTGGCGCCATTCTCATGCGGTGTGACCGATGAGGACCGTGATAGGAGGCTGCAAAAACAGCCGTAAATACACGACGCATGCAAGCTTGACCGTGCGAGACGGCGGACCATGCGTTGGCGACTGTCGCGTGTGCGCGTAAACCCTGCGACCAGAACTGGATTCCCGCTCACGCCCAACGGCGTCGGTGACGATTATCCGAATCGGTTCTGGGCCTCCACGAGGTCGAACTCGGCCTCAAATGAGCAACCCTGCTGTGACGTGTACAACATTGGGGAGACAAAGGCGGCCGGAAGTTGTGCCGACCACACCGCGCCCCCTCATGTGCCATGCCGGCCTTCATAGGTGCTACTTCACTAACAGCACTTGCCCCAACAGCCTGTCAAGGCTATACGGGGATCTTTGTCTTGTCCGTGAGACTGTAGTTGTAGTTTACGTGCGTAGGACTGTGTGAGGTGTGAGTAACTATGGTCTGCGCGAGCGTGTCCGCACCTGTACATAAGCCTCTGATCTCTGTGTGAGTAACTGTGTGAGTAACCGTGTGTCACACCATGCATCTGTACCGACTGTGTGCGTGTATGTATGTACTGTATGTTAAACTTCTTTCCCACCGTACGTAGCCAACCGTGCTACTCGGAGGTGCAGGGGAAGGACAACAAACAAAACACAAAAAGCAGTTTCGAAAGAAGTGAGTTTGTCAATCGAGATGATTTAAAAGTGCAGAGCTCCAGTGGCTTTCTAATATCGGAAGGAGAGCGTTCCAGACGGCCGCAGAAGCGCATCCGAAAGCGCACGATGCGGTGACCATCCTTGGTTCGATGGTTAGCCAAAAAGCTGCTTGCGTGCGTGGCCCCGTGTGGTCTCCAGAGAAGCGGGAACTCTGCATCTGGCAAAGCTCAGAAGGCCGAGAGTGCGTCTCGCGTTTTTGGAAAAAACATTCCCGGTTTCCTCTCCTAGCGCACGGCCTCACGTGACCCCCCCCCTCACGTGACCCCCACGCGTGACCCCCCCCACCCCCACCACGTGTGCCCCCCCACAGCCCCTCTACGTCACGGCTCCCCAACCATTGGCGGCTTGCCCGACACCACTACCAAACCGTTCCATGTAACAGCAGAACCCACAAGGACCGTCCGCTTCTGTCAACTGCTTCAGAAAGCCAGATTCGACTACGGGACCTTGGCATGGGTGGCGCAGGGGGGGTGCTCAACAATTGGACTCCCAGTCCCCTACACCCATCGGGTGACCTTTACCTCCCTCGAACTCCGTGAGTTTCACTTCCACCGCCGAGTCCCCTACCATTCCCTGTTCATCACTTCCCTCTCCGGGAGTCGCGGTCTCTCAGGTCTACGCCTTCCTCACAGGACCCTTAGCGGGATCCCCACGGGAACCCCAAGTCTACCCCCAACGGAACCCCCCCTCCCCTTAGCCTCTCTAATTCCCTAATACAACAACACAAAGACCCCCCCCCCCCCCCCGTCATCCTCTCACCCTGGTAGCTACAGTTCTCACCTGGTCACACACAAATAATCATCAACTCGACACTTGGAACTCGACTCTCACAGTCCTCATCCCATTATCATTTAGCCCACCCCACCAACCCCACATACCCCCACCACAGACCCCCAATTCTCTCCACGGGTGCCCGCCTCCCCCCCCGAAAAGTCTCAGCTACCCTCACTGCACCTAAATACCCCCCCCGTACCCACTCCCCTCAATCCCCCCCTACTGCCCCCCCACACCTACCCCCTGTACTACTCCCCCCCCCCCCAAACCGACCCCCTGTACTACCCGCCCCCACACCTACACCCCCTACTACCCCCCCAAACTACCCCCTGTACTACCCCCTCCACACCTACCCACTACTACCCCCCCACACCGACCCCCTGTACTACCCCCCACCTACCCCCTGTACTACCCCCTCCACACCTACCCCCATGCCCCCCCCTGTACTACCCCCCACCTACCCCATGTACTACCCCCCCCCACACACCTACCCCCTACTACCCTCCCACACCTACCCCCTGTACCCCCCCCACACCTACCCCCCCTCTACCCCCATGCCCCCCCCCCATCACGTCAGGCTGCCCCCGCACCTTCCTCGCCGTACGAGTCGTAGACGCGGCGGCGCTCGGCGTCGCTCAGCACCTCGTAGGCCTCGGCCACCTCCTTGAAGCGCTCCTCGGCCCCGGGCGCCTTGTTCTTGTCCGGGTGGAACTTGAGCGCCATCTTCCTGTACGCCTTCTTCACGTCCTCGTCGCTCGCATCCCTCGCGAGGCCCAGCGTCTTGTAGTAGTCCTTAGACATCGCGGCTGCGGCGGATTTCTGGCGCAAGACTTCTCCCCGCCTGTCTGCGGTACCGCAGATACCTACTGCGGCTGCCGCGGATTTCTAGCGCAAGACTTCTCCCCGCCTGTCTGCGGCTACCGCAGATACCTACTGCGGCTGCCGCGGATTTCTAGCGCAAGCCTCCTCCCCGCCTGTCTGCGGCTACCGCAGATACCTACTGCGGCTGCCGCGGATTTCTAGCGCAAGCCTCCTCCCCGCCTGTCTGCGGCTACCGCAGATACCTACTGCGGCTGCCGCGGATTTCTAGCGCAAGCCTCCTCCCCGCCTGTCTGCGGCTACCGCAGATACCTACTGCGGCTGCCGCGGATTTCAAGCGCAAGCCTCCTCCCCGCCTGTCTGCGGCTACCGCAGATACCTACTGCGGCTGCCGCGGATTTCTAGCGCAATATTCCTCCCCGCCTGTCTGCGGCTGCCGCAGAAACCTACTTCGGCTGCCGCGGATTTCTAGCGCAAGACTCCGCCGCTACTGCTGCCTTCGGGCAATTCCAACTGCCTACCGCGGCTGCCGCGGATTTCCAACGCGGCCGCTGTTATTACTGCGGCTGCCGCGGATTTCTAAACCCCCCCCTGTTCTTCTGTGCAGCCCACGAGCATCAAAACAAACCCCCCGAATAGTAAATCCCTCCCGCAAAGCTAACAACGTACGCCTGTTAAACTCGTTACGGTATTCCGCAATTATACCTTACATTTGCGAAAGAGCGTTATTTTTTTCGTAATCTATATACGATGTAGTTTTGTTTTCATATACACATCTGACAATCGCGTGAACTCGACGGAAAGAAGTTTTTTAAAATATATATTTATTTAAGAAAGTTTTTGCGCGAGCCACTTGCTAGCTTGTCGCAGGTTCGAACGCCGCTCCCCGACGTCTCCTCAGGGCCTCCCTCAGCGACAGCGCCGGACGCCCTCGGCACTCGCAGGCGAACGCTGCTGCTAGCCGACTGGCGGGGCTGGGTGGGGGGCAACCCGCCTTTATATAGACGAGGGGCGGGGTGAGGGGGGCGCCCTGACGTCACGTCCGTGAACCGTCCAGAACGTGCGCGAGACGTCCCTCGCGCGGCGTCACTTCCGCCCGCGGCGAGCCGCGCCCCCCCCCCGCCGCCGCCGCCAACCCCCCACGCGGCAACCGCAGCACGTGGGACCCCGACGCCACACTGCCACAACACGTGGGGACCCCCCCCCCACTCACCACCACACTGCCACAACACGTGGGGACTCCCCCCACACTCACCACCACACAGCCACAACACGTGGGGACCCCCCCCCCACTCTCCACCACACAGCCACAACACGTGGGGACCCCCCCCCCCACTCACCACCACACAGCCACACCACGTGGGGACCCCCCCCCCCACTCACCACCACACAGCCACAACACGTGGGGACTCCCCCCCCCACTCACCACCACACAGCCACAACACGTGGGGACCCCCCCCCCCCACTCACCACCACACTGCCACAACACGTGGGGACTCCCCCCCCCCACTCACCACCACACTGCCACAACACGTGGAGACTCCCCCCCCACTCACCACCACACTGCCACAACACGTGGGGACCCCCCCCCACTCGCCACAACACGTGGGGACCCCCCCCACTCACCCCCACACTGCCACAACACGTGGGGACCCCCCCCCCCACACTCACCACCACACAGCCACAACACGTGGGGACCCCCCCCCCCCCACTCACCACCACACAGCCACAACACGTGGGGACTCCCCCCCCACTCACCACCACACAGCCACACCACGTGGGGACCCCCCCCCCACTCACCACCACACAGCCACAACACGTGGGGACCCCCCCCCCCCCACTCACCACCACACAGCCACAACACGTGGGGACCCTCCCCCACACTCACCACCACACAGCCACAACACGTGGGGACTCCCCCCCCACTCACCACCACACAGCCACAACACGTGGGGACCCCCCCCCCCCACTCACCACCACACAGCCACAACACGTGGGGACTCCCCCCCCCACTCACCACCACACAGCCACAACACGTGGGGACCCCCCCCCACACTCACCACACAGCCACAACACGTGGGGACCCCCCCCACTCACCACACAGCCACAACACGTGGGGACCTCCCCCCCCACTCACCACCACACAGCCACAACACGTGGGGACCCCCCCTCACTCACCACCACACAGCCACAACACGTGGGGACTCCCCCCCCCCACTCACCACCACACAGCCACAACACGTGGGGACCCCCCCCCCCCTACTCACCACCACACAGCCACAACACGTGGGACCCCCCCCCACACACAACACGTGGGGACCCCCCCCCCACTCACCACCATACAGCCACAATACGTGGGGACCTCCCCCCCACTCACCACCACACAGCCACAACACGTGGGGACCCCTCCCCCACTCACCACCACACAGCCACAACACGTGGGACCCCCCCACCACACACAACACGTGGGACCCCCCACGTGGACCCCCCCCCCCCACAACACCAGTCACAACACGTGGGACCCCCCCCACCACACACAACACGTTGGACCCCCCACGTGGACCCCCCCCCCCACAACACCAGTCACAACACGTGGGACCCCCCCCCCCCCCACCACACACAACACGTTGGACCCCCCACGTGGACCCCCCCCACAACACCAGTCACAACACGTGGGACCCCCCCCCCCCCCCACACAACACGTGGGACTCCCCGCCCACCACAGAAGAGTTGTGCTTGTGTGAATGAGCATTACGTTGAACTTCTTTTGCACCGTACGTAGCCAACCGTGCTTATCGGTTGGTTGGACGATTAGCACGGTTTTTGACCCCCCCCCCTCGTCACACGGCGTCACAAAAAGTCAGACCCCCCCCCTCAAATATGACGTCACAAAGCTCTGCCCCTACCCCCCCAAAAACCACATTTCCATTTTTTAAATAAAACATGCTTAAAATCGCTTTAAACTATTGTCATTGTAGTGCGTATCTAATGTGGCGCTGCACTCTGATGTTGTAGGAGTGTTGTTATAACAATCAGTGTTGTTACAACAATTCTATATTTAAAGTTGCGCATTTTTATGTGACGTCACATTTCTCAAACCCCCCCCCCCCCTCGTCACACATCGTCACAAATTTCTGACCCCCCCTCCCCAGGTACGTGACGTCATTTATGGACGGCCCCTTATGCACCTCCCAGAATGTCTTGGGGGGCGGCGATTGTTGGCAATGGCGGAGCCAGAATTTTCAGGTAGGAGGGGAGGGCAACCCCTCCAGCAATGAAACATGATAGAGTTGTTAGTGAGTAAGGAGTTGTTAGTAAGTAAGGAGTTGTTAGTAAGTAAGGAGTTGTTAGTGAGTAAGGAGTTGTTGGTAAGTAAGAAGTTGTAAGTAAGGAGTTGTTAGTGAGTAAGGAGTTGTTAGTAAGGAGTTGTTAGTGAGTAAGGAGTTGTTAGTGAGCAAGGAGTTGTTAGTAAGTAAGGAGTTGTTAGTAAGGAGTTGTTAGTAAGGAGTTGTTAGCAAGTGAGGAGTTGTTAGTAAGGAGTTGTTAGTAAGGAGTTGTTAGTAAGGAGTTGTTAGTGAGTAAGGAGTTGTTAGTGAGTAAGGAGTTGTTAGTGAGTAAGGAGTTGTTAGTAAGGAGTTGTTAGTAAGGAGTTGTTAGTAAGGAGTTGTTAGTGAGTAAGGACCTGTCCCTTGCTTTTCATTCGACGTGTGTGCTCGCTGAAGGTGTTGATGCCTTCAGGGAAGTCGTGTGCTGTGTACGCAACTGCGCCCAATTCTGAGTCACTTATAACTGCTTAGCCATTACTTATTGCCAATTATGGACTCAGACTATTGTCCTATCATCTCATAGAGTCCCTGGCACGTAGTAATAATATGCTACACAGTGGCAGTCGCAAAATGCCGATTTATTACTACTAAACCCCAATGATCCGATCGAAATTAGGGATTTCGATCGGATCATTGGGGGGGCACGTGCCACCCCACCCCCACTGGCTCCGCCAGTGATTGTTGGGATGCATCGCTCGAAAATAAATCTCCGGGGGCGAAAAAAGAAAGCTAAGTTGAATATAAAGAGCTGAAAACGTGAATTCTGGCCAGCCCTCGGCTTACGAAGGGAATTCGTTCCTGGGACCCGTTGGTAAGTCGAACGGTGTCTAAGTCGGAACACTATAACCTGGTCCCGTGACATAGCCTCCTCAGCCCGAGCTATACGTGCTCTGATTCGTGCATTGCCTTTGTACTGTCCGCCTGTTGGCGTTGCTCTCTGGTCTGACACCGGCAGTGAGACTAGGCCATAGACAAGGCTGCTGCTGCTGATGTCTCTGGTGGAGGCCAATCAGTCCCAAAGACAACGCCCGAAATATTAAATATCAGAGCACGTTTGTGTTCGCATGTTCACCACAAGAACCGCGTGCGTGGCTGATGACGCAGACATGATTCCATGCAGAAGGTTGCGGCTTGATGTTTTAACATCTTAACCCAAACTGTTTTAAACCTATTCTTACATTTTGATCCAGGCAAAGGGGGGTGGGGGGGGGGGGGGGGGTCCCGTGAAGTAGCTCCACACCCGAGCTCTCAATGTCTGTCCTGAGAGTGGCATTGTCTTTGTGCTATTCGCCCTTTGGCAGTACTTGATGCCGTGCGTGATGTTTCTATTCGGTGTTTGAACATCTGAACACAACTCCTTGTTGTGTACTTCCAGAAAGGGTAAAACGCCCATGATTATTTTTCATACTCTTGACGGTCTCGATTTAAATGCCCATAGGGCAAGTTGCGCGCTTCTTAGGCCCACGGGAACTCATCAGCAGTGGCCAGCAGCAGCAGGTGTCGCTGTACGCCCAGAGATGGCGAGGGGCTTGGGACCGCTACCGAGGTTCAAGCGACGTGGGGTTCGCGACAGCTCGGAGGCTCGGCTCGAATCGACGGTCAGGGGAAATCGCTCCCTCGCCTCGTCTCTTGCTCGCCATGGGATGGGGGGGGGGGTGTCACAGCCGCGTAGCTTGAAGGGTGTCAAGTTCGACTCTGTGAATTAAGCGAGTGGGGTTCATTGATTCATAATAAAGGTTTTGGGTTAGATCGCGTTTATTTATAAATGTGTCGTAACCCTCCACCACCCGACACGGCCAATCAGCAAAAAAAGTGTCACGTTGACAAAAGACAAATAATTCACTACTTCAGCCCACCGGCGTGTTGAAGAGTCACGTTTGTCAACGTGACACTTTTTTTGCTGATTGGCCGTGTCGGGTGGTGGAGGGTTACGACACATTATAAATAAACGCGATCTAACCCAAAAACCTTTATTATGAATAATATTGGTCGCGAAAGCCTACGTGTTAAACGGGGTTCATTGAGCGAGCGAGCGAGAACGAGCGCGAGTGAGCGGTGGTGCGGCTAAGAACCCAAGTTCGACTCCCGCTCACGGACACCACCAACACCACCGGTGACGAGTATCCTAACCGGTCCTAGGCCCCCTCCCCTAGGTCGACTCAGCCTCAAATAAGTACCTGGTGCGGTGTGTAAACATCGCCACTCTGAAGACAAAGGCGGTCGGGCGTGGTGCTGACCACCCACCCCGTCGTGTGCCGTGCCGGCCTTCATAGGTGCTGCTCGCTAACAGCACTTGACCCAACAGTCTGTTAAGGCTACACGGGGGCTCTTTGTGTTTGTCTTGAGGGGTTGATTAAATGTGTGAATGGACGATTGGGGTGAATGTGTTCGGAGAGTGAGTGGATGGGTGAGTGATTTATCGGGTGAGTGATTTATCGGGTGAGCGAGTGGGCGACTAGGTGAGTGAACCAAAGAGTGATTGGGTGGGCGAGCGAGCGAGTGAGATCGGTGAGCAGTTCACCGAGCGGGTGGGTGAGCGAGTGAGTGTTTAACCGATTGGGTGGGTGAGCGAGTGAGTTGGTGAGTGGTTAACCGAGTGGGGGAGCGAGTGAGTTGATGAGTGGTTGAGTTGGTGAGTGGTTAACCGAGTGGGTGGGTGGGTGAGCGAGTCAGTGGTTAACCGAGTGGGTGGGTGAGCGAGTGAGTTGGTGAGTGGTTGAGTTGGTGAGTGGTTAACCGAGTGGGTGGGTGAGCGAGTGAGTCGGTGAGTGGTTAACTGAGTGGGTGGGTGAGCAAGTGAGTTGGTGAGTGGTTAACTGAGTGGGTGGGTGAGCGAGTGAGTTGGTGAGTGGTTAACCGAGTGGGTGGGTGAGCGAGTGGATGGGTGAGCGAGTGGGTAAGTGGTCGAGTAGGTGGGCGTCGACCGGTGTCCCAAGCCGTGTGGGGTGAGGTGTCCGACGTGGTTTGTCGCTGACACAGAACGAGGGGATCATCCCTCTTAAATTCGATATTTTATTCGCACAAACAAAACGACACGTACAACAGCACACGGTTGAAAATCATCCCCTCCTCCCCCCCCGAATATTAACCACAATAACCACATAATAACCGCATAACAACCACCACACCCAGGGCAGTGGCATTGGCCGTGTTGACCTCTTGACCTTGACCAGATGGCTCAAGGGCGCCGCTTGCAGGGGGTCGCCTTGGGGTTAAGGCGAGGTCAGGTCGGGTTCAAGTGAGGTCGGGGTGAGGTCAGGTGATCGCAGCTGCGTCGTTCTTGCGTCAGGCGTCTGCTCGCTGCTGCCCCCCCCCCCATCTCAAACCCACGCTTCCCCACCACAATTTCTCTTGCACCACCATCTGACAGCCTCTGACAGCTCACGTGCCCAGGAACCGCTGCTGCCCTTTTCTTTGGGGAGGGGGGGGGGGAGCTGCCCCCATCGTGAGGGGATCATCCCCTCGTCTGCTGCCCCCCTGCCCCCCTCCTGCCCATTCCCTGCTGCCCCCCCCCCACCCCGCGCCACGTGAGAGGGCAGCCCCTCCCTGCTGCCTCCTGCCACTGCAACCTTAAGGGGGTTGCCTCCACCCCTCCACCGCCGCATCCTCCACCACAGCCCTCCCCCCCCCCCCAACTCCTGCTGCCCCCCGGCACTTAGGGGGGTAGGGTGCTGCCCCTTGCTCAGAGCAGCAGGGGCAGCAGGGCACGGCGCATGCTGGGGTAGCCCGGGAACTCCTTGACGTAGGCGGAGTGGCGCTCGCGTGCCCACACGGCCATCTGGATGAAGGCGAAGACGGCGAACACCCACACTGCACACGGACAAAAGGCAAAGGTCCCCCGTGTAGCTTTAACAGGCTGTTGGGGCAAGTGCTGTTAGCGAGCACCTATGATGGCCGGCACGGCACGGCACACGAGGGGGCGGGTGGCCAGCAACCACGCCCGGCCGCCTTTGTCTCCCCAGTGGCGATGTTTACACACCGTACCAGGTACTCATTTGAGGCTGAGTCGACCTAGGGGAGGCCCAGGACCGGTTCAGATAATCGTCACTGGGTGTTGGCCGTGAGCGGAAACCGACGCTACCGCTCTCCACACACGGTTATTTACATTGCATGAATACTACAACATACACCACACACACACCAAAGTATACACACCCTGTCAACACGCACACACGCCACACCGTGAACACCCCTCACCTGAGAGCGTGTGGGTCATGACGGCGAAACTGAGCCACGAGCCGACCTGCAACGACATGAGGTCACCGTTAGCCACAAGCAGGGGGCGTGCGGGGTCACGGTCAGGTGTTGAGGTCAGAGATGAGTAGGTCGAAGGTTAGGGCTCTAGGCAAGGCTGGTCAGCGGTCGTGGTGATGTATGTATTGTATGTTGGACTTCTTTCGCACCGTACATAGCCAACAGTGGTCAAACAGTGAGAGATTGGGTCAGGATGAGGGCTTGGGGTCAGGGGTCGCGGTGAGAGATTGGGTCAGGATGAGGGCTTGGGGTCAGGGGTCGCGGTGAGAGATTGGGTCAGGATGAGAGCTTGGGGTCAGGGGTCGTGGTGAGAGATTGGGTCAGGATGAGGGCTTGGGGTAAGGGGTCACGGTGAGAGATTGGGTCAGGATGAGGGCTAGGGGTCAGGGGTCGTGGTGAGAAATTGGGTCAGGATGAGGGCTTGGGGTCAGGGGTCGTGGTGAGAGATTGCGACAAGATGAGGGCTTGGGGTCAGGGGTCGTGGTGAGAGATTGGGTCAGGATGAGGGCTTGGGGTCAGGGGTCGTGGTGGGAGATTGGGTCAGGATGAGGGCTTGGGGTCAGGGGTCGTGGTGAGAGATTGGGTCAGGATGAGGGCTAGGGGTCAGCGGTCGTGGTGAGAGATTGGGTCAGGATGAAACTCAATTATTCTAAAATTATTTTTCTTTACCGGGTAAGGCCCCACTGAACTATGTAGCTATTTTTGTCAGAAACGGCCTGGCTTTCACAAATGATAGCTCAACAAAGTGGTGGCTTCATCATCGCGTGGACATTTCTAGCAGCCAAATACTCTAAACGCGTGACGTCGATTCTAAATTTGGAGGGGGAAAACCGGAGGACCGGAAAAAAAATCCACGTGACCACAACATGGAGAGCGAGAGAGACACGCAAACTCCAAATATACAGCAGCAGCAGCAGGCATCGTCAGGTTTGGGATTGAACCCACGACCTCCTGTATACCGGGCGAGGTAGTTAACATCTCCTAGCCACCGTGGCGAGATGTTAACTACCTCGCCCGACCTACACTGGGTCGGGGGGGTCGTGGTGTGAGATTGGGTCAGGAGGAGGGGTTTGGGGTCAGGGGTCGAGGTCAGGGGTCGGAGGTCGTGCCTCGTAGGTGTAGTTGGGGCACGAGACGAGGGCGAACGGCCAGGTGAAGGGGTTCATGCCGGGCGATGGGTACGGGAGTCTGCTGCGGCCTGCAACCACAACCACCACCACCACCACGATTACAACCACAGTCATCACAACCACCACAACAATTACAATAACCACCACTACAACCACGATTACAACCACCACAACAATTAAATAACCACCATCACAACCACGATTACAACTACAATTACAATAACCACCACAGCAATTACAACAACCACCACTACAACCACGATTACAACCACCACAACAATTACAATAACCACCATCACAACCACGATTACAACTACAATTACAATAACCACCACAACAATTACAACAACCACCACCACAACCACGATTACAACCACAACCACCACAACAATTACAATATCCACCACAACAATTCCAACCACCACTACGATTACAACCACAGTCATCACAACCACCACAACAATTACAACAACCACCATCACAACCACGATTTCAACCACCACAACAATTACAACAACCACCATCACCACAACCACGATTACAACCACAACCACCACAACAATTACAACCACCAAGACGATTACAACCACGATTACAACCACCACAACAATTACAACAACCACCACCACCACAACCACGATTACAACCACAACCACCACAACAATTAAATAACCACCATCACAACCACGATTACAACTACAATTACAATAACCACCACAGCAATTACAACAACCACCACTACAACCACGATTACAACCACCACAACAATTACAATAACCACCATCACAACCACGATTACAACTACAATTACAATAACCACCACAACAATTACAACAATCACCACCACAACCACGATTACAACCACAACCACCACAACAATTACAATATCCACCACAACAATTCCAACCACCACTACGATTACAACCACAGTCATCACAACCACCACAACAATTACAACAACCACCATCACAACCACGATTTCAACCACCACAACAATTACAACAACCACCATCACCACAACCACGATTACAACCACAACCACCACAACAATTACAACCACCAAGACGATTACAACCACGATTACAACCACCACAACAATTACAACAACCACCACCACCACAACCACGATTACAACCACAACCACCACAACAATTACAACCACCAAGACGATTACAACCACAGTCATCACAACCACCACAACAATTACAACAACCACCATCACAACCACGATTACAACCACCACAACAATTACAATAACCACCGTCACAACCACGATTACAACTACAACCACCACAACAATTACAACCCCCAAGTGGGGGGGGGGGTTGTGGGGGTGAGTGTAAGGGAGGGTGAGTTGAGGGTGAGGTGGGTGGGGGGTTGCTGTGGAGAGGGTGAGGGAAGTGAGGGGGGGAGTGAAAGAGGGTGAGGGAGGTGGGGGGGTGAGTGTAAGGGAGGGTGAGTTGAGGGTGAGGTGGGTGGGGGGGTGCTGTGGAGAGGGTGAGGGAGGTGAGGGGGGGAGTGAGAGAGGGTGAGGGAGGTGAGGGGAGGGGTGAGTTGGTGTCTAACATTAGCCCGACCTACACGGGGAATGCGAGCAACGGGAGCAATGGCAGCGTAGGGAGATGGGGGGGGTGGGAAGGTGAGGAGGGTGGGTGAGGGAGCTGGGTGGGTGAGGGAGCTGGGTGAGTGAGGGAGCTGGGTAGGTGAGGGAGCTGGGTGGGTGAGGGAGCTGGGTGGGTGAGGGAGCTGGGTAGGTGAGGCAGCTGGGTGAGGGAGCTGGGTAGGTGAGGGAGCTGGGTGAGTGAGGGAGCTGGGTAGGTGAGGGAGCTGGGTGGGTGAGGGAGCTGGGTGGGTGAGGGAGCTGGGTGGGTGAGGGAGCTGGGTGGGTGAGGGAGCTGCGTGGGTGAGGGAGCTGGTGAGTGAGGTAGCTGGGTGTGGGTTCTCACCAGGGGTGTGTAGGTCACGAAGACTGATGTGGATGAAATAGCTTCCCAGCTGACAGACCTACATCACACCACACAGCACCATAACATCATACCATCAGACCATCACACTACACACCATCACACTACACACCATCACACTACACACCATCACACCACACACCATCACACCACACACCATCACACCATCACACTACACACCATCACACCACACACCATCACACCACACACCATCACACTACACACCATCACACTACACACCATCACACCACACCTGTGTTCACAACACACACCATGGGTAGGTAGTGAGTGGTGGGTGGTGAGTGATAGTGGTGAGTGATCGTGGTGAGTTGGTAGATGGTGAGTGGTGGGTGGTGAGTGATAGTGGTGAGTTGGTAGGTGGTGAGTGGTGGGTGGTCAGTGATAGTGGTGAGTTGGTAGGTGGTGAGTGGTGGATGGTGAGTGATAGTGGTGAGTGGGTAGGTGGTGAGTGGTGGGTGGTGAGTGATAGTGGTGAGTTGGTAGGTGGTGAGTGGTGGGTGGTGAGTTGGTAGGTGGTGAGTGGTGAGTTGGTAGGTGGTGAGTGGTGGGTGGTGAGTAATAGTGGTGAGTGGGTAAGTGGTGAGTGGTGGGTGGTGAGTGAGTAGGTGGTGAGTGGTGCGTGGTGAGTGATAGTGGTGAGTGGGTAGGTGGTGAGTGGTGGGTAGTGAGTGATAGTGGTGAGTGGTAGGTGGTGAGTGGTGGGTGGTGAGTGGTAGGTGGTGAGTGGTGAGTTGGTAGGTGGTGAGTGGTGGGTGGTGAGTAATAGTGGTGAGTGGTGGGTGGTGAGTGAGTAGGTGGTGAGTGGTGCGTGGTGAGTGATAGTGGTGAGTGGGTAGGTGGTGAGTGGTGAGTGGTGGGTGGTGAGTGGTGAGTGGTAGGTGGTGAGTGATGGTGAGTGATAGTGGTGAGTAATAGTAGTGAGTGGTGGGTGGTGAGTGATAGTGGTGAGTGGGTAGGTGGTGAGTGATAGTGGTGAGTGGGTAGGTGGTGAGTGATAGTGGTGAGTGGGTAGGTGGTGCGTGGTGGGTGGTAGGTGGTGAGTGATAGTGGTGAGTGGTGGGTGGTGAGTGATAGTGGTGAGTGGTAGGTGGTGAGTGGTGGGTGGTGAGTGATAGTGGTGAGTGGTAGGTGGTGAGTGGTGGGTGGTGAGTGATAGTGGTTTATTGCTTACCGTAAAACACATCATGCCCAGCGCCGTTAGTCTGTAGGCTGCAACAGAGAAGAGACACTCACCCAACCACACTCACCAAAACCACACTCACCATTCAGCCTCACCCAACCACACTCACCACCACACTCACCCAACCACACTCACCATTCAGCCTCACCAAAACCACACTCATCAAAACCACACTCACCATTCAGCCTCACCCAACCACACTGACCATTCAGCCTCATTTAATCACACTCACCAAAACCACCCTCACCAAAACCACACTCACCCAACTACACTCACCCAGCCACCAAAGATCCCCCGTATAGCCTCAACAGACTATCGGGGCAAGTGCTGCGAGCGAGTAGCAGCAGCAGCGCCTACGAAGGCCGACACGGCACACCAGAGGGGGTGGCCAGCAACCACGCCCCGCCGCCTTTGTCTCCCCAGTGGCGACATTCACACACACACACCCCACCAGTTACTCGTCTGAGGCCGAGTCGACCTAGGGGAGGAGGCCCAGGACCGATTCAGATACTCGTCACCGGTGCTGCCGGGTTCGTTAGCGCAGCCGCGTTCACCGCTGCACCACCGCTCCCCGACCACAAAGACAAAGGATCGCCCCGTATAGCCTCAACAGACCTTTAGGGCAAGTGACGTTAACTCTGTGCCTCTCTACGAAATGCCCACCCAGCTCGAGTGGGAACAAGTGGTCACAACACGTGCAGTGTGGTCCCCAAGAGGACGTCATATATATGAGAAATTATGTTCGACGTTTCGGCCGATCGGCTTTGTGGGTGCTCACAGGGCGGCGTGTAGAGCGGGTGGTTGATGTAGTAGCCCATCCAGGCGGTGAAGATCGCGTGGCACGTGCAGTCCTGTGGGGGTGTGCACACACACACACACCGTGTACACACACACAGTGTACACACACACACAGTGTACACACACCGTGCACACACACACACCGTGTACACACACACACTGTGTAAACACATATACACCGTGTACACACATACACACCGTGTACACACACACCGTGTACACACACACCGTGTACACACACACCGTGTACACACACAGTGTACACACACACACACACACTGTTTACACACACAGTGTACACACACACCTTGTACACACACACACCGTGTACACACACACACAGTGTACACACACAGTGTATATATACACACACACCGTGTACACACACACCGTGTATACACACACCGTGCACACCACGTGTACCTAGGGCACCCCTACTAAGATTCAGGGACCCCACAGGGCCTGAGGGCCTCTGGGCGAGGCGAGTGCCCCCCCCCCCCCCGTTGAGGGTAGGGCCCCCAGCGCCCCCCGCCCCAGCCCCCCACTCACGATGACCATGCTGGTGAGCGGCATGGTGCCCCGCGATATCTTGTGGACGAACGCCGCCTCCAGCAGACACTTGATGTAGTGGAACGAGTGGCAGATGCAGGCCAGACTGGGGGGACACGTGGGGGGGCACGTGGGGGGGGACACGTGGGGGGGGGCACGTGGGGGGGGGACACGTGGGGGGGGCACGTGGGGGGGGACCACGTGAGACACGGGGAGGGGGTGAGACACACGCTGTCCAACCACCACACTACAGGTCACTACTACAACACACTCGCTCGCCCACTCCACCACCCGCTCCACCACCACACCACCAGCCCAAGCTCTTACAGCATCAACAACAACAACAACAAGAACCTCGCTCAACTCAACACGCGAGATTACGGCACTCACTCTGTCCGATTACAACTTCAACAGTGCCGTCTGTTGCTGGCCGCTTGGCAGCAACTATGATAGATATACAAATGGAAAGCCAAACATGACCCCCGAACTATATCCACATGTCCATCAACGGTGACCCCGTAACCCTGTGACCCTGGACATGCCCATGTGCCCCCCCTGCCCCCCCCGTCATTGCCCCCCCGTCTGTGCCTCCGTGCTCCCCCTCCCCTGGCCCTGCCCCCCCTGCCCCCCCCCCCGCCACTCACTGGACCACGCGGTGGGGGCTGAAGGAGCAGACGTCATCCTCGGTGTACACGGGGTACACGCGCAGGTAGAAGAGCAGGTAGACGATGAACATGCACGTGTACTTCACCAGGAACGCCTGCACGCATGCACAAACACAAAGACAGAGATCCCCCGTGTAGCCTTAACAGACTGTAGGGGCAAGTGCTGTTAGCGAGTTGCTATGAAGGCCGGCACGGCACACGAGGGGGTGGGTGGCCAGCAACCACGCCTGGCCGCCTTTGTCTCCCCACAACGCACCAGGGTGCTCATTTGAGGCTGAGTCGACCTAGGCGAGGCCCAGGACCGGTTCAGGTAATCGTCACCGGTGTTCGAACTCGGGTCGCCGGGTTCGTCGTGCGACACGCTAGCCGCTACACACACAGACACACAGACACATGTACACACACACACACACGTACACACACACACAGACACATGTACACACACACAGACACATGTACACACACACACAGACACATGTACACACACACACAGACACATGTACACACACACACACATGTACACACACACAGACACATGTACACACACACAGACACATGTACACACACAGAGATACATGTACACACACACAGAGACATGTACACACACACACAGACACAGAGACACGTACACACACACAGACACATGTACACACACACAGAGACACATGTACACACACACAGAGACACATGTGCACACACACACACACAGAGACATGTACACACACACACAGAGACACAGAGACACGTACACACACAGACACATGCACACACAAAGATCCCCCGTGTAGCCTCCACCGTGTGCGTTGTCCACCTACCGTGGTCTTGTCCACCTGTGGGCCGAGGTCGAACATAAACAGCACGGCCGTAGTGGCCACTGGGAGGTTCTTGAGCACCTCCTCGTCCCGGATCGCTCGGCCTCCTGTGGAGGGACGCCAAGGGGCGGCGGGTGGGGGAAGAGGTGTTGGCGACGTGGTGGCTAAGAGATGTTAACTACCTCGCCTGGTTTACAGGAGGTCGGGGGTTCGATCCCGATCCCAACCCTAACGCCGGCTGTATATTTGGAGTCTGCGTGTCTCTCTCTCTCCCTGTGGTGAGATGTTAACTACCTCGCCTGGTATACAGGAGGTCGTTGGTTCACTCCTGACCCTGATGCCTGCTGCTGTACATTTGGAATTTGCGTGTCTCTCTCTCTCCCTGTGGTGAGATGTTAACTACCTCGCCTGGTATACAGGAGGTCGTGGGTTCACTCCTGACCCGGACGCCTGCTGCTGTATATTTGGAGTTTGCGTCTCTCTTTCTCTGTGGTGAGATGTTAACTACCTCGCCTGGTGTACAGAAGGTCGTGGGTTCACTCCTGACCCTGATGCCTGCTGCTGTACATTTGGAGTTTGCGTCTCTCTCTCTCTCTCTGTGGTGAGATGTTAACTACCTCGCCTGGTGTACAGGAGGTCGTGGGTTCACTCCTGACCCTGATGCCTGCTGCTGTACATTTGGAGTTTGCGTGTCTCTCTCTCTCGCCGTTGTCGCATGGATTTTTCTCCAGCTCCTCCGGGGTTTTCCCCGCCACGTTCAGAATCACGTCATGCGTTTCGACTATCCGACTGCATGAAATGTCCACGTGATGCTCCGCTTGGTTGAGCTCTCATTCGTGATGGCCACGTGGTCGCGTCTGTAAAAGAGCTACTGCACATAGCAGCTTAGTGGGGCCTTACCTGGCAAGGTTATAGTAGTTAAGGGCCCCCCCCCCCACACACACAACGTCGGGGATCTTTAGGGTGTCTGTGTGGGTGGCCACGTTTGCCTCTGCGACTTAGGTGTGTGTGTGTGCGTGTGTGTGCATCATCACACTCACTCGGATCGACTTTGAAGCAGATGCGTGCCGGGTACATGGCCGGATCTGAGAGCACAGACCAACACGGGCGCACACACACACACAGATAAAGACAAAGATCACCCGTGTAGTTTTCAACGGACTATAGGGGCAAGTGCTGTTAGCGAGCAGCACCTATGAAGGCCGGCACGGCACACGAGGGGGTGGGTGGCCAACACCGCGCCCGGCCGCCTTTGTCTCTCCAGTGACGATGTTTACACACCGCACCAGGTACTCATTTGAGGCTCAGTCGACCTAGAGGAGGCCCAGGACCGGTTCGGAAAATTGTCACCTGTCGTCAGGTTCGTAGCGCAGCGTAGCGCTAACCGCTGCACCACCGCTCCCCAGGTACACACACACACACACAGGTACACACACAGGTACACACACACCCACAGATATAGGCAAAGGCAAAGGTACCCCCGTCTAGCCTTTCATTGACTGTTGGGGCAAGTGTCGTTAGCGAGTTGGCACCTGTGAAGGCAGGCACACACGCGCCTCTGTGTATATACGTGCGTGTAAGTACACACGTGTGTGAGTACACACGTGTGTGAGTTATACGTGTGTATGTGTACACGCGTGTACACGTGTGTGTGTACGTGTGTGTGTGTGTGTGGGAGTACCTGACCCTCTGCTCACGATCATTAAGGACCTTCATGATGGTGAGCGGGCCCGGGTAAAACTACGTGGCCGGGAGTCAGAGCCATTCCCTGTACACCTTGGGGTGCGACAGGGATGTCCTCTGGCTCCCACATTATTTAACATCTATTTTGACCACGTAGTTCGTGAAGCCTTCAATAGCTGTACCGGGGGAATCTCCATGTGGTACAGATATAATGGGAGGCTAATCGATGCCCGGGTGCGGTCAAGGGATGGCTCCCTATTGCTCAACCACGTTATGTATGCTGATGACTTGGTAATGGCTGCTCAGTCAGAGGAGGAGTTGGAGACGCTGCTGCTGAGACTGGAGCGTGCCACTAAGAGGTGGGGCCTTACCATCAGCCCCACCAAAACTAAGCACCTGCCTGGGTATTTTGTACCATCGGACACTCCACCCCCACAACTCCCAATCGGTGATGGGGCAGTTGTGGAGAGAGTGGAGAGTTTCCCATACCTGGGCAGTGTGCTTATGACTGGCTCCAGTTTAACAGCAGAGGTCTCACTCCGAATCAGTCGAGCGGCAATATCTTTTCATCGGTTGCGTAACGCTGTGTGGAAGCTACCTGGTCTGTCGCTCCGCACTAAGCTTCAGGTCTTCTCGGCCACGGTCATTCCCTCCCTTCTCTACGCTTGCGAAACGTGGACCCCCCTAATGGAACATCTTCGCCGGTTAGAAACATTTAGGCTGGCCTGCCTACGATCCATCCTGGGTTTAACCAGACTGGATTGTGTGAGGAGCTCACAAATCCTTGAAAGATCTGGGCAGGGTCCCATCGGTGAGCTCCTCCGGCAGGCAAGGCTGCGATGGCTTGGTCATGTAGCCCGCATGCCCAGCCAACGCATGCCGAAACAGCTTTTGTTCGGCCGGATTGAGGGGGCTAAGCGGGCGCGGCACGGGCTAGAGAAGAGATGGAGTGATGTGGTACAGGAGGACGTAGAGCTGAGTGGACTTGCCGATGACTGGTACCAGCGGTGTCAAGATCGACCTCTGTGGAGGAGGCTCGTGAAGGATGCTACTGGGCAGTTGGAGGTAGTCGCCCTCCAACAACAACGGAGGGCGGAGGAGCGACGCTCGCAACAACGAGCGGAGCGCCGGGTGGCTAAAGCACAGTAGGTTGGCACAGTAGGGGGCACAGGTGGTGCATCAGCCAGTCATCTCAGTCAGTCGACCCGTGGCACCTGGGTCTGCCCCGTGACCTCCTGCCAGCGGGCGTTCGACACTTCACGTGGCCTCAGGGTGCACATAGCCTGGCACAAGCGTCGTGGTGACGTCACCGCCACTTAGTGGCGAATGGCGGTTGTTGTTGTTGTTGTGTGTGGGAAGCGGTGGTGGAGCGGTTAGCGCTACGCTGCGCTACGAACCTGGCGACCCGAGTTCAATTTCCGCTCACGGCCACCACCAGTGACGATTATCTGAACCGGTCCTGGGCCTCCCCTAGGTCGACTCAGCCTCAAACAATCACCTGGTGCGGTGTATAGTAAACATCGCCACTGGGGAGACAAAGGCGGTCGGGCGTGGTGCACCTAGCCTGGCACGGTAGGAGGGTACAGCTGGTGGTGCATCTACCGGTCATCTCAGTCAGTCGACCCATGGCACCTGCCGGGTCTGTCCCGAGACCTCCTGCACCTAGCCTGGCACAGTAGGAGGGTACAGCTGGTGGTGCATCTACCGGTCATCTCAGTCAGCCGACCCATGGCACCTGCCGGGTCTGTCTCGAGATCTCCTGCACCTAGCCTGGCACGGTAGGAGGGTACAGCTGGTGGTGCATCTACCGGTCATCTCAGTCAGCCGACCCATGGCACCTGCCGGGTCTGTCCCGTGACCTCCTGCACCTAGCCTGGCACAGTAGGAGGGTACAGCTGGTGGTGCATCTACCGGTCATCTCAGTCAGCCGACCCATGGCACCTGCCGGGTCTGTCCCGAGATCTCCTGCACCTAGCCTGGCACGGTAGGAGGGTACAGCTGGTGGTGCATCTACCGGTCATCTCAGTCAGTCGACCCATGGCACCTGCCGGGTCTGTCCCGAGACCTCCTGCACCTAGCCTAGCACAGTAGGAGGGTACAGCTGGTGGTGCATCTACCGGTCATCTCAGTCTGGCAACCCATGGCACCTGCAGGGTCTGTCCCGTGATTTCCTGCACCTAGCCTGGCACAGTAGGAGGGTACAGCTGGTGGTGCATCTACCGGTCATCTCAGTCAGCCGACCCATGGCACCTGCCGGGTCTGTCCCGTGACCTCCTGCACCTAGCCTGGCACAGTAGGAGGGTACAGCTGGTGGTGCATCTACCGGTCATCTCAGTCAGCCGACCCATGGCACCTGCCGGGTCTGTCTCGAGATCTCCTGCACCTAGCCTGGCACGGTAGGAGGGTACAGCTGGTGGTGCATCTACCGGTCATCTCAGTCAGCCGACCCATGGCACCTGCCGGGTCTGTCCCGTGACCTCCTGCACCTAGCCTGGCACAGTAGGAGGGTACAGCTGGTGTCAGCCGACCCATAACACCTGCCGGGTCTGTCCCGTGACCTCCTGCACCTAACCTGGCACAGTAGGAGGGTACAGCTGGTGGTGCATCTACCGGTCATCTCAGTCAGCCGACCCATGGCACCTGCCGGGTCTGTCCCGAGATCTCCTGCACCTAGCCTGGCACGGTAGGAGGGTACAGCTGGTGGTGCATCTACCGGTCATCTCAGTCAGCCGACCCATGGCACCTGCCGGGTCTGTCCCGTGACCTCCTGCACCTAGCCTGGCACAGTAGGAGGGTACAGCTGGTGGTGCATCTACCGGTCATCTCAGTCAGCCGACCCATGGCACCTGCCGGGTCTGTCTCGAGATCTCCTGCACCTAGCCTGGCACGGTAGGAGGGTACAGCTGGTGGTGCATCTACCGGTCATCTCAGTCAGCCGACCCATGGCACCTGCCAGGTCTGTCCCGAGATCTCCTGCACCTAGCCTGGCACGGTAGGAGGGTACAGCTGGTGGTGCATCTACCGGTCATCTCAGTCAGTCGACCCATGGCACCTGCCGGGTCTGTCCCGAGACCTCCTGCACCTAGCCTAGCACAGTAGGAGGGTACAGCTGGTGGTGCATCTACCGGTCATCTCAGTCTGGCAACCCATGGCACCTGCAGGGTCTGTCCCGTGATTTCCTGCACCTAGCCTGGCACAGTAGGAGGGTACAGCTGGTGGTGCATCTACCGGTCATCTCAGTCTGGCAACCTATGGCACCTGCAGGGTCTGTCCCGTGACCGCCTGCACCTAGCCTGGCACAGTAGGAGGGTACAGCTGGTGGTGCATCTACCGGTCATCTCAGTCAGCCGACCCATGACACCCGCAGGGTCTGTCCCGTGACCTCCTGCACCTAGCCTGGCACAGTAGGAGGGTACAGCTGGTGGTGCATCTACCGGTCATCTCAGTCAGCCGACCCATAACACCTGCCGGGTCTGTCCCGAGATCTCCTGCACCTAGCCTGGCACAGTAGGAGGGTACAGCTGGTGGTGCCTCTACCGGTCATCTCAGTCAGCCGACCCATGACACCTGCAGGGCCTGTCCCGTGACCTCCTGCACCTAGCCTGGCACAGTAGGAGGGTACAGCTGGTGGTGCATCTACCGGTCATCTCAGTCAGCCAACCCATGGCACCTGCAGGGTCTGTCCCGTGACCTCCTGCACCTAGCCTGGCACAGTAGGAGGGTACAGCTGGTGGTGCATCTACCGGTCATCTCAGTCAGCCGACCCATGGCACCTGCCGGGTCTGTCCCGTGACCTCCTGCACCAAGCCTGGCACAGTAGGAGGGTACAGCTGGTGGTGCATCTACCGGTCATCTCAGTCAGCCGACCCATGGCACCTGCCGGGTCTGTCCCGTGACCTCCTGCACCAAGCCTGGCACAGTAGGAGGGTACAGCTGGTGGTGCATCTACCGGTCATCTCAGTCAGCCGACCCATGGCACCTGCCGGGTCTGTCCCGTGACCTCCTGCACCTAGCCTGGCACAGTAGGAGGGTACAGCTGGTGGTGCATCTACCGGTCATCTCAGTCAGCCGACCCATGACACCTGCAGGGTCTCTCCAGAGACCTCCTCCTGTCAGCAGCGAGTCTTTGATACTTCAGGTGATAGCCTCAAAGTGCACCTAGCCTGGCACAGGCGCCGTGGTGATGTCACCATCACTTCGTGGCGAATGGCGGCTATTGATAGTGTCGTGATTAGCGCTACGCTTCGCTACGAACCTGGCGACCCGAGTTCGATTCCCGCTCACGGCCAACACCGGTGACGATTATCTGAACCGGTCCTGGGCGGCCCCTAGGTCGACTCAGCCTCAAATGAGTACCTGGTGCGGTGTGTAAACATTGCCACTAGGGAGAAAAAGGCGGTCGGGCTTGGTGCTGTCCACCCACCCCCTCGTGTACCGTTCCGGCCTTCATAGGTGCTCGCGAACAGCACTTGCCCCTACAGTCTGTTAAGGCTAGACGGGGGATCTTTGTGTATACGTGTGTGTGTGTACGCGCGTGTGTGAGACTGCACGTGTGTGTGAGTACATGCGTGTGTGTACACGTGTGTGTGTACACGTGTGTGTGTACACGTGTGTGTGTGTGTGTCTGTGACGCACGGGTTTTGTTGAAGAGCGCCTTGAGTTCGCCCACAGTCACGGTCGGGTGGACCTGCAGCACACGTGGCCCGCCGTCACAGTTACACTCCTAGTCCCCGCCAGATCCCTCATCCCAGATCCAGATCCCTCATCCCAGATCCAGATCCCTCATCCCAGATTCCAGATCCCTCATCCCAGACCCATATCCCTCATCCCAGACGCAGAACCCTCATCCCAGATCCAGATCCCTCATCCCAGATCCAGATTCCTCATCCCAGATTCCAGATCCCTCATCCCAGACCCATATCCCTCATCCCAGACGCAGAACCCTCATCCCAGATTCCAGATCCCTCATTCCAGATTCCAGATCCCTCATCCCAGATTCCAGATCCCTCATCCCAGATTCCAGATCCCTCATCCCAGATCCCTCATCCCAGAATCCAGATCCCTCATCCCAGATCCAGATCCCTCATCCCAGATTCCAGATCCCTCATCCCAGACCAAGAACCCTCATCCCAGATTCCAGATCCCTCATCCCAGATTAAAGATCCCTCATCCTAGATCCCTCATCCCAGATTCCAGATCCCTCATCCCAGATCCCTCATCCCAGAATCCAAATCCATCGTCCCATCCTTAATCCCAGACCTCAGATCCCGCACCTGTGAAAAACAGCTCTGTAGCTGATCGGATTGATTCTGAGATTCCACATCCCTGTATCGGTTCATGAAAGTCTCCCAGACTCTCGTCCACCCACAGTCCACCCCCCCTCCCAAAGGGCGAATCCAATTGGGGCCAGGGGGGGGGGCGATGGGAGCGATCGCCCCCTCCTCCATTGATTGATATTTACCAGATACAATGCACCCGACGTACATGAGTTGTATCTAATTATTATTAAAGTAGGGATGTATGGGGCCCTATTTAAACATCTTGACATATCAGGGACCCCCCCTACCCCACCCTACCAACACCCTCCCCCCCTGGGAGGTGTCTAGATCCGCTTCTGCCCCCCCCCCTCTCTCTCCACCCCCCACCCCACCCCCGACCTTACCACGCGTATCACAACCCCCCGCCTTCCCCCCTCCTCTCTCCCCCCCCCACTTCTTCCCCCGCCCCCACCCCCGCAGCTGTGCACGCGCGCAGAAAATCCTCGCTCATTTTAGAAGCAGCCGCGGGGTTTGCGAGGAGACCCCCGGGGACTCGGGAGGGGTGGGGGGCACGCGGGATATGGGGGGGGGGGCTGCAGATGGGGGGGGGGACAATAAGGAAGGAGGAAGAGCAGGGGGCGGGGGCATTCCCAGGGATGAGCCCACGTGGTGTCGTAGTTGTTCAAGATGAGCTTGTTACTTTATTATCAACTTGGACTGTTGAGCCCTAACGGGAGAGCTCTCGACGAGTCTCGCGGCGGCGACGATGCTGTCAAGTTCTTTGGGGGGGTTTTGTTGTTGTTGTTGCGCAGTCAATGGGGGGAGGAGGAGGAGGAGGGGGGTGGAGGGTGTACAACGATTCGCGGCTGCCGATGACCTCCGTTGTGTAAAGTCCCGACCGAGTTAAGCGTGGGGCCAACCCTTGCGCGTCACACCGCGGCGTCCGCTGACGTCTTGGCCGTGAACGAGCAGACGGAACAGGCTGGCGAGAAATTTCGATTGAAAGCTTTCGTGACTGCAAGGATTCATCTTCTTTGGTTCTTTCGGTAAAGTCACCACCACGTAGAATGAGAATAAAATAATACATTGATAAAATAAAATAACACAATAATATTCTCACGACGTTTCGGCCACAACACAAGCGGCCTTCATCAGGTGAAGGGGACGAGACCAGCGCTGTCCTACCAGACAGTCTCGTCCCCTTCACCTGATGAAGGCCGCTTGTGTTGTGGCCGAAACGTCGTGAGAATATTATTGTGTTATTTTATTTTATCAATTTATTATTTTATTCTCATTCTACGTGGTGGTGACTTTACCGAAAGAACCACAGAAGAGGCTGGCGAGAGTGTATCGAAGCCGCTGTGCTTCTACGGTTAGAGCGCCGCAGAGGCGCTGCACACCGCAGCATTTGCCAGGGCGGCCGCTCGTCATTCCAAATCCGTGAACCACTGCAGACAACAAACGGTAGCGAACGCGCTGCCGCTGGGCTACTGTCACGTGATTGATGATGGTGATAATGGTGGTGGTGGTGGTGGTCGTGATGGTTATGATGCGGATGCTGGTGATAATGAGTGTTACCATGATGATGGTTGTGATTCGGCTGCTAGCAATGTGCATTACGGCGCTGGTGATGATGGTTATTATATCAGGACGATAATAACTTGGTTATAATGATACAATTTTAATAACACAATTATAATGCGGATTTAGACGGCGTCTAGCTGCGACCGCATCGATAGACGCTGTCCAGGAATGAGTCGGGAGAGTTCATTCCATGTGCCATGAAACAAGAGCTATGGAGAAGGGTCATTGCCTGAAACGTCGCCTCTTATACTGTCCGTAGACTCAACACTGCCCATAGACTCAACACTGCCCCATAGACTCAACACTGCCCATAGACTCAACACTGCCCCATAGACTCAACACTGCCCATAGACTCAACACTGCCCATAGACTCAACACTGCCCACAGACTCAACACTGCCCATAGACTCAACACTGCACCATAGACTCAACACTGCCCCATAGACTCAAGACTGCCCATAGACTCAACATTGCCTCATAGACTCAACACTGCCCATAGACTCAACACTGCCCCATAGACTCAACACTGCACCATAGACTCAACACTGCCCATAGACTCAACACTGCCCCATAGACTCAACACTGCACCATAGACTCAACACTGCCCATAGACTTAACACTGCACCATAGACTCAACACTGCCCCATAGACTCAACACTGCACCATAGACTCAACACTGCCCCATAGACTCAACACTGCACCATAGACTCAACACTGCCCCATAGACTCAACACTGCCCCATAGACTCATCACCGCACCACCTTATAGCACGGCTGGCTACGTACGGTGCGAAAGAAGTTCTACATAGGATGCACACATGCTGCCAACGCAGCAGCGGCAGCATCAGCAGATATAATTAAGTTCATGAACACGGAGCGATATGCAAGCAGTCACGGGCAGGAGGAGGCAGGGAGGGGGAGCAGAGGGGATGGGAGGGGTGGGCAGGGAGGGAGGGAGGGAGCCGACAGCGTAGGCGACTGGGGGAGGAGAGGGGGAGAGGGGGGGATGGGGGGGCGGGGGGGGGGGGGTTGGGGGAAGAGAGTTTGGGGAGGTCCCTCTGAGCGAGGGGCGCCACGGGAGAGGGAGAAGATCCCGTGACAGCAAACACAGTCGATCGCTAGCTGGTGACCACTTCGTGATGATGACTACGTCATGATGATGATGACTACATGATTATGATGCTGATGATAACTGGGTGGTGATGATGACTACGTCATGATGATGATGACGACGTTGAATGGAGGTGGTGATGGTTGATGGTGGTCATGGTGGCGATGATGGCTGTTATAGAACATTGTGATGATGATCACAATGAAGCACATCCGTGATGATGATAACGATGACGATCTCTCACCTTGTCAATGAAGCACAGCCGTGATGATGATGACGAAGATGATGACGATATCTCACCTTGTCAATGAAGCACATCCTCCGTTTGCTGTCGGGGTCGCGGATATCCACCTCGAAGAAGGTGGACCTCACCACCTTGCGCTCCACCGCGCTCCTCTTGGCGCCCTCCATCAGGTCGTGCACGAGCAGCTTGGACAGATCAAAGAGGGACCTGAGCTTCATGTGGGGCGCAGCCATCGCTAGACCTCACCTCCCCTCTCCTCTTCCTACTCCCTCCCCTCCTACTCACACCTCCCCTCCTCCTTCCTCCCTCCTCCTCTCTCGCTCCTCCTCCTCTCTCCCCTCCTCCTCCCTCCCTCCCTTCCTCCTCCTTCCTTCCTCCCTCCTCCTCCCTCCCTCCCTCCTATCCTCCTCCTCCCTCCCTTCCTCCTCCTTCCTTCCTCCCTCCTCCTCCTCCCTCCCTCCCTCCCTTCCTCCTCCTCCCTCCCTTCCTCCTCCTTCCTTCCTCCCTCCTCCTCCCTCCCTTCCTCTTCCTCCTCCCTCCCTTCCTCTTCCTCCTCCCTCCCTTCCTCCTCGTCCTCCTCCCTCTCTTCCTCCCTCTCTTCCTCCTCCTCCCCTCCTCCTCTTCCTCCTCCTCCCTTCCTCCTCTTCCTCTCTCCCCTCCTCCTCTTCCTCCTCCCCTCTGGCCTACCACCGACAAATCTTCGTGGTCCAACGGGCGACGGGGGCCGCCAGCGGTCAGAGCGCGCCTCGTTTGTCGCTCGTCTCTTCCCACCACGGCGTTCGGGACGCTTCCCGTGCCTGTGGAGACTTTGTTTTTCACCTCCCAAAGTGCTCCTCTGAGAACCACACTCACGTCTTTCTCTTGCGTATCCCTCTGTGTAACGGGACCACTTGGAGGACGGGGGGGGGGGGGTGTTTAACTCTTTAGTTTTAATGGTAAGAAGTTTTTTGGGGGGGGGGGGGGGTTACATTTAAAACTGGGATTGTGTTGCCAAGGGCTGTTGTAGATAATGCTACAGATATTAAAACTGAGTTTTATTTATTACTTCCTCTGCCCCCACCCCCACCCCGTACCACCTCCTCCCTAAACCCTGGGGGGTAGTCGACCTTCCTCAATGTCTCAATGGCTCGCCCAGTGACACTCCACCCCACCACTCCACCCCACCACTCCACCCCACCACTCCACCCCACCACTCCACCCCACCCCACCACTCCACCCCACCCCACCACTCCACCCCACCACGCGCGTCATTCGCTCTCGAGGGAACCTCCAAAAGGACGACTCGAGGAGCTCGCGACGATGGCTCAAAAGAGATCCCTCCCAAGGTCGACTCGAGGACTCTCCAAAAGGGCGAGGAGAGATTTCAAAAGGTCGACTCCAAGACTCTCAAAGGAATGAGAAGAGACGTCAAAAGTTCGACTCGAGGACTCTCAAAAGGAAGAGACTTGAAAAGGTCGACTCAAGAAGTTGACTCAGGATCCCACCAAAAGGATCAACAACCTCCTCCCCCACCTCGCTCCCCCCTCCCCAAAGAAGTCGTCTGGGAGACCTGATGGCCACGCACCAGGCCGCGTGAGAGGTCACCAGCTGTAGTGGTGTGACCCCTTCGCTGGGCCGCGTGAGAGGTCATCAGCTGTAGTGGTGTGACCCCTTCGCTGGGCCGCGTGAGAGGTCACCAGCTGTAGTGGTGTGACCCCTTCGCTGGGCCGCGTGAGAGGTCACCAGCTGTAGTGGTGTGACCCCTTCGCTGGGCCGCATGAGAGGTCACCAGCTGTAGTGGTGTGACCCCTTCGCTGGGCCGCGTGAGAGGTCACCAGCTGTAGTGGTGTGACCCCTTCGCTGGGCCGCGTGAGAGGTCACCAGCTGTAGTGGTGTGACCCCTTCGCTGGGCCGCGTGAGAGGTCACCAGCTGTAGTGGTGTGACCCCTTCGCTGGGCCGCGTGAGAGGTCACCAGCTGTAGTGGTGTGACCCCTTCGCTGGGCCGCGTGAGAGGTCACCAGCTGTAGTGGTGTGACCCCTTCGCTGGGCCGCGTGAGAGGTCATCAGCTGTAGTGGTGTGACCCCTTCACTGGGCCGCGTGAGAGGTCACCAGCTGTAGTGGTGTGACCACTCTTATGACGCGGGGGTGGGGAGCGCGTCCCACCCGGTTCCTCACCGCCTCCCCCACACCTCTTGGTTCACTTCTCTTCTCCTGATCCCCCCCACCTCGATCGTGCCCTCGTAATTATTCGAACGTCGAGGCCACTTGCGATCTCTCTCGCTCGCTCGCTCGCGATGTTGATGCTGCTGATGATGTCGACGACGATGTTGATGATGATGTTGTTGTTGTTGTTGATATCCGCTTGTGTTCTTCTCGAAGGACGGCCTCGTCTTTGGAAGAGCCGAGTCCGATACGTGACTGGCCCAGTCGCCGCACATCACCAACCCCTTACCTACCCCTTACCTAGCCCCTACCTACCCCCTACCAACCCCCTACCTACCCCCTACCTACCCCCTACCAACCCCCTACCTACCCCCTACCTACCCCCTACCAACCCCCTACCAACCCCCTACCTACCACTCCTTCCCACAACTCCAGAGGGGTTAGGGTTGTCTGGTGTGCTCCGGTTCGACCCGGGGTGGTGATGGTGGTTGATGGACGTGGGAGGATGTGAGGAGGCAGGGAGTGAGGAGGAGGCAGGGAGTGAGGAGGAGGGGGGTTGTGCGTTGAGTTCCGGCACCCGGACTCGAACCGTGACGGCCCTGATGGGTTTGGGGGGCGGGGGGGGCACCCGACCCCGGTTTGCCCGCGCAGAGCCCGGATGGACGGAGGCGCCACGCATTCACTGAGTCCGCACTGACCACCACCACCAGCACTGTGGTACCGTAGGGGTCAGATGACCCCCACACACTACCCCCCTCCCCCTCGAGAGACACGCGGAGACGCAGAACTGCAGAGAGACGCCGGCACATGGAGACAGGCGCACAGGGGCAAGAGACGTCGGATCGAGACGGAGAGACGCGCAGAGTTGTAGAGACACGGAGAGAGAGAGAGTCACGCAGAGTTGTAGAGACACGGAGAGAGAGAGTCACGCAGAGTTGTAGAGACACGGAGAGAGAGAGAGTCACGCAGAGTTGTAGAGACACGGAGAGAGCGAGCGAGGCACGGAGGCAGTCGCTCAGAGCCACACAGAGTGAGAGGCAACAGTCAGAGGGCACACAGAGACACGCGGAGGAGCTACAGAGAGGCAGAGACTCTCCGTGAGACAGGCAGAGACACAGAGCTAGAGAGAGACACACACAGAGACACTCGGGAGACAAGCAGGGACACAGAGCTAGAGAGAGAGACACACAGAGACACTCGTGAGACACACAGAAGAGTCACAGAGAGTGATGACACAGACACACAGAGCTAGAGAGAGACACACAGAGACACTCGTGAGACACACGGAAGAGTGACAGAGAGTGATGACACAGACACACAGAGCTAGAGAGACACACAGAGACACTCGTGAGACACATAGAAGAGACACAGAGAGTGATGACACAGACACACAGAGCTAGAGAGACACACAGAGACACTCGTGAGACACACAGAAGAGACACAGAGAGTGATGACACAGACACACAGAGCTAGAGAGACACACAGAGACACTCGTGAGACACACAGAAGAGTGACAGAGAGTGATGACACAGACACACAGAGCTAGAGAGACACACAGAGACACTCGTGAGATACACAGAAGAGACACAGAGAGTGATGACACAGACACACAGAGCTAGAGAGAGACACACAGAGACACTCGTGAGACACACAGAAGAGACACAGAGAGTGATGACACAGACACACAGAGCTAGAGAGACACACAGAGACACTCGTGAGACACACAGAAGAGTGACAGAGAGTGATGACACAGACACACAGAGCTAGAGAGACACACAGAGCTAGAGAGACACACAGAAGAGTGAAAGAGTGATGACACAGACACACAGAGCTAGAGAGAGACACAGAGACACTCGTGAGACACACAGAAGAGTCACAGAGAGTGATGACACAGACACACAGAGCTAGAGAGAGAGACACACAGAGACACTCTTGAGACAGTCAAACACAGAGTCACACACACGGCTATTTCAGGAATATTTTGATGTTTTTTCCTGGATATTCTGTTTGCACATGCACAAAGTCACTTTAAGATGTTTCCTTGTTCGTGTTTTTTTTGTTTGTTGCGGTTGCACCCGATTCAAGAGCCGAATGGCTCACAGGGCTATGCCAAATAAATGAAAACTATGAAATAAATAAATATATCCCTGCAAGTCGCGGCCACCCGGCCCGAGAGACCGCAGGGTAGACGCGGAAGCCGCCCGTCTCGCCTTCAATCCTTCCCCGGACTTCATCAACCTTCATCAACCTTCATCAACCTTCGTGGGGGAGTCGTCTGTCCCCCCCCCCCACCATCACCCACCACCACCACCCACCACCCACCACCACCACCCACCACCCACCACCACCACCACCACGCACCACCACGCACCACCACCACGCGCCACCACCACCCACCACCACCACGCACCACCACCACCCACCAGCACCACTCACCACCACCACCCACCACCACCACCCAACACCACCACCCACCACCATCACCCACCACCACCATCCACCACCACCACCCACCACCACCCACCACCACGCACCACCACGCACCACCACCCACCACCACCACGCACCACCACCACCCACCACCACCACCACGCACCACCACCACGCACCACCACCACGCACCACCACCACCCACCACCACCCACCACCACCACCACCCACCACCACCCACCACCACCACCCACCACCACCACCACCCACCACCACCACGCACCACCACCCACCACCCACCACCATCCACCACCACCACCCACCACCATCACCCACCACCACCCACCACCACCCACCACCACCACGCACCACCACCACCCACCACCACCCACCACCACCACGCACCACCACCCACCACCACCCACCACCACCACGCACCACCACCACCCACCACCACCCACCACCACCACGCACCACCACCCACCACCCACCACCCACCACCATCCACCACCACCACCCACCACCATCACCCACCACCACCCACCACCACCCACCACCACCACGCACCACCACCACCCACCACCACCCACCACGCACCACCACCCACCACCCACCACCACCACCCACCACCACCACGCACCACCACCACCCACCACCACCCACCACCACCCACCACCACCCACCACCACCACGCACCAGCACCCACCACCCACCACCCACCACCACCACCACCCACCACCACCACGCACCACCACCATCCACCACCACCCACCACCACCACCCATCCACCACCCACCACCACCACCACCACCCACCACCACCACCCACCACCCACCACCACGCACCACCACCACGCACCACCACCACCCATCCACCACGCACCACCACGCACCACCACCACCCACCACCACCCACCACCACCACGCACCACCACGCACCACCACCACCTATCACCGAACTTCCCCGGGCCTTCCCCTTGCCAGATCTACACCACGCGAGGCCTTCTCCCTCAGAGACCACCGCTGCTGCAGGAATGTCCGGCAATGATCGAAGCCCTTGCCCCCAAGTGTCCCTGCTCCTCCTCCTCCTCTCGCTCGCTGTCCCCCTCCCTCTCTCGCTGTCTCCCTCCACGAGTGTTCCACACACAAAGACAAAGATCGCCCGTGTAGCCGGCACGGCGGTGATGGGGCAAGTGCTGTTAGCGAGTGCCACCTTTGCACAAAGACAAAGATCGCCCGTATAGCCGGCACGTCGGTGATGGGGCAAGTGCTGTTAGCGAGCACACAGTTTGCTGCGCGTCCTCAGTTTTATATCCATCCCCTGCACCTGGTTGGGGGGTGGTGGTGGTGGGGGGGGCGGTGGTGGTGGGAAGGGGGGTGGTGGTAGTGGGGGGGGGGGTGGTGGTAGTGGGGGGGGGTGGTGGTAGTGGGGGGGGGTGGTGGTGGGGGGGGGCGGTGGTAGTGGGGGGGGGCGGTGGTGGGGGGGGGCGGTGGTGGGGGGGGCGGTGGTGGTGGGGAGTGGTTGGTGGGGGGGGGTGATAATGAACCACCATCGTTACGAGCGATTGCTCACTTCACTGATACCAGCGGTGTTCTGTCGCTACAACTGAGATTTGTGTTTTGTGTTGTTTTTTGAGTCGAGCGTGCCACGAGCGTGAATGTTCAACTCAGACCACGCGGGTCCATTACGAGATTCACGTCTCGCTCACTGCGCCTGGAACCCCCCTGGGGAGGAGGAGGTGGAGGAGGAGAGGGGGAGGTTGTGGACGGCGCTCAAGCCCGGCTGGTTCTGAACCGGTTTCGGCACCGGTTCTGGGCCGATCATCGAACCGGTTCGAGGCTACCCCGGCGAGTTCTGCTGGGAGACGCGGAGTGCCCGATGTCACGCGAGCATAGCGAGCGGGTTTAATCAATACAGTCTACAATACAGTCTACAATACAGTCTACAATACAGTCTACAACACAGTCTACAACACAGTCTAGTCTACAACACAGTCTAGTCTACAACACAGTCTAGTCTACAACACAGTCTACAACACAGTCTACAACACAGTCTACAACACAGTCTACAATACAGTCTACAATACAGTCTACAATACAGTCTACAATACAGTCTACAATACAGTCTACAATACAGTCTACAACACAGTCTACAACACAGTCTACAACACAGTCTAGTCTACAATACAGTCTACAACACAGTCTACAACACAGTCTACAATACAGTCTACAATACAGTCTACAACACAGTCTACAATACAGTCTACAATACAGTCTACAACACAGTCTACAACACAGTCTACAATACAGTCTACAACACAGTCTAGTCTACAACACAGTCTACAACACAGTCTACAATACAGTCTACAACACAGTCTACAACACAGTCTACAACACCGTCTACAATACAGTCTAGTCTACAATACAGTCTACAACACAGTCTACAATACAGTCTACAATACAGTCTACAACACAGTCTACAACACCGTCTACAATACAGTCTAGTCTACAATACAGTCTACAACACAGTCTACAACACAGTCTACAATACAGTCTACAATACAGTCTACAACACAGTCTACACCACAGTCTAGTCTACAATACAGTCTACAACACAGTCTACAATACAGTCTACAATACAGTCTACACCACAGTCTAGTCTACAATACAGTCTACAATACAGTCTACAACACAGTCTAGTCTACAATACAGTCTACAACTCAGTCTAGTCTACAATACAGTCTACAATACAGTCTACAACACAGTCTACAACACAGTCTAGTCTACAATACAGTCTACAATACAGTCTACAACACAGTCTAGTCTACAATACAGTCTACAATACAGTCTACAATACAGTCTAGTCTACAATACAGTCTACAATACAGTCTACAACACAGTCTACAACACAGTCTACAACACAGTCTAGTCTACAATACAGTCTACAATACAGTCTACAATACAGTCTACAACACAGTCTACAATACAGTCTACAATACAGTCTACAACACAGTCTAGTCTACAATCCAGTCTACAACACAGTCTACAACACAGTCTACAATACAGTCTACAATACAGTCTACAACACAGTCTACAACACAGTCTACAATACAGTCTAGTCTACAATACAGTCTACAACACAGTCTACAACACAGTCTACAATACAGTCTACAATACAGTCTACAACACAGTCTACACCACAGTCTAGTCTACAATACAGTCTACAACACAGTCTACAATACAGTCTACAACACAGTCTACACCACAGTCTAGTCTACAATACAGTCTACAATACAGTCTACAACACAGTCTAGTCTACAATACAGTCTACAACACAGTCTAGTCTACAATACAGTCTACAATACAGTCTACAACACAGTCTACAACACAGTCTAGTCTACAATACAGTCTACAATACAGTCTACAACACAGTCTAGTCTACAATACAGTCTACAATACAGTCTACAATACAGTTTAGTCTACAATACAGTCTACAATACAGTCTACAACACAGTCTACAACACAGTCTAGTCTACAATACAGTCTACAATACAGTCTACAATACAGTCTACAACACAGTCTACAACACAGTCTAGTCTACAATACAGTCTACAATACAGTCTACAACACAGTCTACAACACAGTCTACAATACAGTCTACAACGCAGTCTACACCGCAGTCCACAACACAGTCTACAATACAGTCTACAATACAGTCTACAACACAGTCTACAATACAGTCTACAATACAGTCTACAACACAGTCTACAACACAGTCTAGTCTACAATACAGTCTACACCACAGTCTAGTCTACAATACAGTCTATAACACAGTCTACAATACAGTCTACAATACAGTCTACAATACAGTCTACTAGACGGACATGTGCTGTCCGAAGGGACACACACACAGTACAAAGACAAAGATCCCCCGTGTAGCCTCTAACAGCCTGTTGGGGCAAGTGCTGTTAGCGAGCACCTATGAAGGCCGGAACGGCACACGAGGGGGTGGGTGGCCAGCACCACGCCCGGCCGCCTTTGTCTCCCCAGTGGCAATGTTTACTACACACCGCACCAGGTACTCATTTGAGGCTGAGTCGACCTAGGGGAGGCCCAGGACCGGTTCAAATAATCGTCACCGGTGTTGGCCGTGAGCGGGAATCGAACCCGGGTCGCCAGGTTCGTAGCGCAGCGTAGCGCTAACCGCTGCACCACCGCTCCCCAAAGACACACGCACACAGCGAGGCGCACACACACATCACATCACAACAACAACATCAACATCGCTCTCCCATATCCCCATATAAGTTACATTATAACACCCCGGCGTAACCAATCATCACCACCCCCCCTCCCAACTCAACCTCGCATTCTGATATAATGCGGTATTCCCGGATAGACCCCCCCCCCCCCCCCCGTGCACACGAGCCCCTATAAATATAGAGAGGGGTAGGGTCCCCTCTCCGGGGACAACAGCCCCCCCCCCCCCCCGCGTCTCAGGGCACACGCCGCCCCCCTCACCGGACGTGGTGCGGATCGGCAGACGCAGGAGAGCGGGGGACCACGCAGCTCGGAGGACGCGGTTAGACTCCGGGGCGCTGTCCCCTGGACCCCCTCCACCCCTCCCACCCCTCTCACCGCCCCCTGGCCGCTGCCCACCACCCGTCCCGCCCTCTCGGACCCCGGCGCCGCGACCCCCCACACACCCCCCACCCCCCCAGGAACGAGGGGTTCGTGGCGGGGGGACGGGGGGGGGAGGGTAGAGAGGCGTGACCCCTGAACCCGTCAACCCGTCAACCCCACCCCGTCCCTCGCTCGCATTGCCACTCTTCCACCGGAGGATGATGAGAGTGTTGATGATGATGATGGTGTTGATGGTGATGGTAGTGATATATGATGATGGTGATGATGGTGATATTGATGGTGATGATGGTGATGATGGTGATGATGGTGGTGATGTGGATGATGGTGATGATGTTGATGATGATGGTGATGATGGTGATGATGGTGATGATGGTGATGATGGTGGTGATGTTGATGATGATGGTGATGTTGATGGTGATGATGGTGATGGTGGTGATATATGATGATGGTGATGATGATGGTGATGATGTTGATGATGGTGATGTTGATGATGATGGCGGTGATATATGATGATGGTGATGATGGTGATGTAGGTGGTGATGTTGATGATGGTGATGTTGATGATGATGGCGGTGATATATGATGGTAATGATGGTGATATTGATGGTGATGATATTGATGATGGCGATGATGCTTCTGCTGATGATACCACTGCTGATGATACCACTGATGTTGATGTTGAGAATGCTGCTGATATTGATGATGCTGCTGCCGATGATGCTTCTGATGATGATAGCGATGGTGCAGCTAGCGTGGAAGAGTAGACCAAAGACTCCCCGATTGTCGCTCTCGCCGAGGACCCCTTCCGTCAGCAGTGGCGCGGGTGAGCAGTTGCAGAGCTGCGCCTTAACTTAAGGGTAGGGGGGGGGCCTACCCGAGACAGGTGGGGAAGGAGGGGGGGGAGGAGGGGGGGGGTCCCCCTTAGCCCCCTCCACACCCCTCCCCCCATAGCTCCAGCCCCTCCCCTCCACCACCTGATGTCCCCTTCCCCGTCTTCCATCCTCCCCCCAAGTCTAATTTTACCCCCTTAGTCAATTGTCCTGGGATGGGGGCACGCATTCCCATAATGCATGGGGGGAGGTGGGGCGGTAAGGGGGGTAAGGGGGGTAATGGGGGGTGGGCTAGTGCCGGGGGGGGTTAAGGGGGGGGGACTAGTGCCGGGGGGGGTTAAGGGGGGGCTAGTGCCGGGGGGGGGTAAGGGGGGTGGGCTAGTTCACTTTTAAATCTAGATTCATAGCGAAGTTCTTGAGAACTGCTTTTTTGTGTGTTCGTTTGTTGTCCTTCCCACCCGCACCTCCGTTACACTACACACTACGTGACACTGCACTACTTTACACTACACTACACACTACTTTACACTACACTACACACTACGTGACACTGCACTACTTTACACTACACTATACACTACTTTACACTACACTATACACTACGTGACACTGCACTACTTTACACTACACTACACACTACGTGACACTGCACTACTTTACACTACACTACACACTACTTTACACTGCACTATACACTACTTTACACTACACTACACACTACGTGACACTGCACTACTTTACACTACACTATACACTACTTTACACTGCACTATACACTACTTTACACTGCACTACACACCACGTGACACTGCACTACTTTACACTACACTATACACTACTTTACACTGCACTACTTTACACTACACTACACACTACGTGACACTGCACTACTTTACACTACACTATACACTACTTTACACTGCACTACTTTACACTACACTACACACTACGTGACACTGCACTACTTTACACTACACTATACACTACGTTACACTGCACTACTTTACACTACACTATACACTACGTTACACTGCAATACTTTACACTACACTATACACTACGTTACACTGCACTATACACTACGTTACACTGCACTGGTTTATACTACACTATACACTACGATACAAAGATCACCCGTATAGCCTTAACAGACTGTAGGGGCAAGTGCTGTTAGCGAGCACCTATGAAAGGCCGGAACGGCACACGAGGGGGTGGGTGGGCAGCACCACGCCTGACCGCCTTTGTCTCCCCAGTGGCGATGTTTACTACACACCGCACCAGGTACTCATTTGAGGCTGAGTCGACCTAGGGGAGGCCCAGGACCGGTTCAGATAATCGTCACCGGATGTTGGCCGTGAGCGGGAATTGAACCCGGGACGCCGGGTTCGTAGCGCAGCGTAGCGCTAACCACTACACCACCGCTCCCCACACTACGATACTCCACACTACAATACACACTAGACTACACAATACATTGTACAACTACTATACACTACACCACGATACCAAATAAAAAACTCGTTTACTCACAACTTATTTTCGTACTTAAGTTTGACATCTTCCCTGCACCTCTGATTAGCGCGGTTGGCTACGTACGTTGCGAAAGAAGTTCAGCACGCATACGCAGCGTATCCTAAACCCGCATCGCTCCCAGCGTTCCGACTATGGCTACCCTAAACCCGAACCCGCTAGCTGCCAGCAACATCTGTCGGACTACCCCCTTCATACCTCGAAACCTACCCCCCAGAATGCCGGCCACGCAGTACCGAGTCAGGGGGGTGCCTTTCTGCAGGACCATCAGTGGTGGATATTCCACATTCCTATGGCGGGGGGGCGAGCACATGCCACCTGTGTATTTGTCTCCCTCCATATTTGGTAAACGCGCGTTTCGGAGTGTCTGGCTGCTGTACATTTCCACGTGGTGATGATGATGATGGTGGTGATAAACCCACTTCGTTTGGACTATCATTCGTGACGGACAGGTCGCTTCTGAAAAATTAGCGACGTAGCTCAGTGGGACCTTACCTGGGTCAAATTAAAACAACAACAATATTATCTTCTTTTTGTTACATGCATAGAATGGAATCCACTGTTGACTTCGTCACGCGCTGGTACTCATCGTTTATCGACCCCGGGAGGGATGCTGATGAGCCGAGTCGACTCCCCGAGATCCTGTCGGCCAGCGGTTGTAATGCGCGTGTGTTGGACTTCTTTAGCACCGTACGTAGCCAACCGTGCTCATCGGAGGTGCGATTTGAGTGCAGTCGAGGAGAGAGAGGGCAGCAGATCTGCGGTGCTGGGCTTGTTCCTCTCCCGGTGCTCGACACGCACTTGAAGTCAAATAAGTAATATTTAAAAAAAAAACTTTTTTTTTTATAAACACGCTTTTATGAAATGTGCCGTACTAGTAAAGTAAGAACTCCACGACTCCAGGAAGTGACCACGAAGCTCGCCACAACGCAAGGAACCGTGTTGAATTACAGCCAACGTCAGTTGAGCGTGGGCAATTAGACCCATGGCGAAACATAACGTATAACAAAAATAATGTTTAAAAAATATATATATTTTGTGATAGAATATAGTATTGTCATCAGTATGACATAAGTATACCAAGTTTGCGGTCGATACCAAATTGGGAAGTGGGTTAAAATTGAGTTACAAGATTTGAGGATACAACAACAACAGACAGAGTTAAGTGAAAGAGTGGAAAACAAACGCCCCCCCACCCACCCCTCGGTTCGTTTGGGATTCATGGCCAATAAACGTCTCATTGTAGCAGCAGAAGCAGCAGCAGCCTCTTGAACAAGAAACGAGCCAGTCTTCGGAATCTTTATGTCGACTGTAGGAGGAAGCCGTTGAGTTCTGAAGCTCTTCATTCACCAGATGCCCAGTAAAGTCTTGAGACTCAGCGAGCCGTGAAACTGGTATCAAACTTTTGCAATTAGGTGAAGTGGTTTATCCATGCCGGGCGGGGGGATTTCTCTCCTTCAAAAAGCTTGACGTTTCGGGATCACCCCCTGCCCCCGCCCTTGGGAAGCTTCTGGATCATCCGCCTCTGACTTGGGACTTGAAACTCTGGGATTAAACTCCCCGAGTCTCCCCTCTCTCGCGCGCTTGGAGTTTCTCTACAAGTTCTCTGCTTCAACTCTCAACTCAACTCTCACTCAACTCAACTCTCACTCAACTCAACTCTCACTCAACTCAACTCTCACTCAACTCAACCCTCACTCAACTCAACTCTCACTCAACTCAAATCTCACTCAACTTACTGAACTCACTCAACTCAACTCTCACTCAACTCAACTCTCACTCAACTCAACTCTCACTCAACTTACTGAACTCTCACTCAACTCAACTCTCACTCAACTCAACTCTCACTCAACTCAACTCTCACTCAACTTACTGAACTCTCACTCAACTCAACTCTCACTCAACTCAACTCTCACTCACCTCCACTCTCATTCAACTCCTCGTTCGAGACAGCGGCTGGCCAAACCAGCCCTGGGACATGACCCTCCCGTGAAGAGCTTGAGTCAATCCGCTGCTGGATGGATAGACGAACGCGGCATTTGCCCTCCCCACGCACGCCCCCCCATTGCGAGCAGTGGTGGCGGTGTGGGGGTTATTTAATAATACTTCACCACTGACGGTCAGCTCAGTGCTGAGCGGTGCAGGGCGTAGAGCATAGACGGGTGGGAGCATAGCACAGTACAGCACAACATCGAGTTGTCGCTACTGCTGCTGCTCGCGCTGCCCACGTGGGCCACAGCAACGGGCAACAAGCCTAGAGCACCTGCAGGGCACGTTCCGGGTGACTTGGTCACACACAATGGTTAAATAAAAGTGTCCCCCTCGTCACATCTTGGTTAAATAAAGGTGTCCCTCTCGTCCCATCTTGGTTAAATAAAGCCCCCCCCCCCAACGTCCCAGCGTGGTTAAATAAAGGTGTCCCTCTCGTCCCCCTGTGGTTAAATAAAGGTCCTCCTCCCCCTATCGTCCCAGCGTGGTTAAATAAAGGTCGTGAATGCAGTCGTAGCAGTCAGGGAGTCAGGAACTGAATCAATTGGCGGGACCCCGGGGTGCCATCAGTGCCCGGGGTGCGACAAACCGCGTGGCGACACGAGTCTT